TGGATTAGCATTTTTAATCTCTTTTAAAAGCGTTAGCATGCTCCAACGTATCTAAGAAGTCTGTGTTTGGGATCATAGTGGTTTGTCACTTTGCCTCACCTGTCTAACAGCAGTCTCATCCAGGTGAAAATGTCTGTCACACGATTTTTATCAGCCTGTCCCAGCTACTATACTAAGCCTCTATTAATTTGTTTTGGGAAGCTCTTTCTCTGTTTAGCATCTTTTGTTTCCCCAAGATTACAGATATTTTTTTTACTGATCAGACTTTGTTTCTTTTCTCACAATGTCTGTTATGCACAATGAATGAAAATGGTAACCGTGTATGTAAAATAAAGAAATAAATAAAATGCACTCTATTCAAGGTAAAAAGGAGAAGGTTTTCCAGCTGGGTCCTACTCTAGGGGCAGTACTTCTCTCTGTTTCTTAGCCAAGGGAGCCAGCATTGTCTGAAGACAATTTCTGTGGTCATGACTGTATGTCAAAGGCACACAGAATGCTGTTACCTTCCCACTGAGGTGGTCGCTATAACTACTCGTATTTGAATGCTTTTGGACTGCTAGGTGGGCAGGAGCTGGGGCAAGAACGAGAGCTCATCCTGTTGCTCAGTGCTTGAACCCAGACTGTCAGCTCTCCAGTTGACAAGCTCAACGTCTTTAGCTGCTGAGCCCTCGTGCTCCTTCAAGGTCGTTTCTTCTTAATTTTAGTCTTTGCATTGGAGCTAGATATACGTCCAGATGAATTACCTTCCAGAAGAAACATCAAATCTGAATTGGGGCAGAGTTTGTATAAAGAATTGCCCTGGAACTTCATGAGAAAATGTCTACTCTGAATGTTGCTAGAGAGCCAAACCTGGCTTGCATCAGCAAAACTGAGTAGGCCAAACCCTCCCTTTTGTTTTGTGTTCCCAATCTCTCTTGCATTTCACTAGCAGGTAATAAATCAATGCATGGTTATGTTGCCTATTTGGATATGGACGAAACGCAGCCAATCAACCCTGAGAAAAACATTCAGGTTTCACGGTCTTTCTGCAGGCAGGAGATTTCACATACAGGCCACATAACTCCCATTACCTTACTGCAGCGGTAGGCGACCCTTTTCGCTATGTCCCAACGTTCCATAAGTTCAATTGAGCCTAAGGCGCTGGAGATATTGATAATGGCTGCTTTGCTAGAGCTCAACCCTTGACATGGACTTCTCCGGGCTGCCAGCTTCAGCAGGGGCAGACAAGCCTTTGAGAGAGGAAGGAAAAGAGAGAATGGGATGCAGGTAGGTCCAGGAAAAGGATCTGTCCAATGGTGACGATCAAAAGCCAGACTCAGTTATCCGAAGGGTCTTCCGTTAGCTTCAGCTGACCTCCTCAAAGACCTTCCTGCCAATTCAATATACAAATATCGATAACCAGCTTAAAACAAAAAAAGCTGTGGTCAGAAGCCCAAAGTCCATTCTTGTATCAAGCTCAACAAAGCCATTGTGAAAGCTCCACACCAACGTTCGATCTCCCAAGCATGGGATACAGCCACGTCTCCAGGGTCTTTAAAAAGGTTGGCAGGTGCAGGGCTAATCTAAGGCCCACAAGGACAATGTTCCAAAATGGGCATGTAGCAGAAAAGGCTCTCTTCCTGGGTTCCACCAGATATGACTCGTTGGTAGATGGGACCCATTACATGCCTCTCCTGCTGGTACCAATGGGACACTATATCTGGGGAGAGAGGGTAACATAGTACCATGTCACATAGGAGATCATAGTTCACTTAACACCTTAAATGGAACTTGGAAGCATACTGGCAACCACTGCAGCTCGTGGAGTAGAGGTGTAGCATGTGCTGACCAAAGAGCACACGTAACTTGGTCAGGATCAAACTCCTGGCAATGGGCAGAGTTAGCCTGAAATACTGCATTCATATCACTGTGCCAGTACGGCTCCTGTCTCTAATAGCAGTTTCATCCCGGTAAAATCCTGAAAATCTCGAAAATTATTCCCAAAAGATGAATGAATAATAAACAGACCTGACTCATTTGCAGGGGCCCAATAGTATTGACGGAATACACCGTCATCATATCCTTGGCGTTTTCCCTTTCCAGGTTGTTGCCCACTTTAAGGCCAGCATTGTTGATGAGGAGGGTCAATCCACTTTCTCCAACACACTTCTGCATTTCTTTCACAACCTCCTGGATGCTCTCAAGATTAGTGACATCTGAGGGAAATAATAATATTCCAATATCGGCCTAAAGCGGTTTCAGAATTGCTAGACGGGAGTTCTCGGAACCATGTTTCTTTGCATAGGTCTTGGTGTCAATTCATGCAAGTTGCTACCTTATCAAAGAGCAACTAGACAGAGAGACTGGATGCCAAGATGGGCATTTTCAGCTGTAGCTGTAATATAGTTGTAATTTTATATACTAAATGTCAAACCTAGGAATGGAGCAGCTCAATCTGCTAGCCAAACGACCTAAAGCTTGGCATAGAGGTCATAGAATCCCTGAGGGGTCTGGGTCAGGGTCACCACTTAGGAGGTTCTGGCTCCAGCTGAAAAGTTGTAAAGTAGTGACTCTAGGCCCAAAGGTGATGAACTTTATGTCAATGGGGATCCCTGGTTGAAGGTCAGCACCTCTGAGTCAATGGTCAGGACCTCCAAGACAAAGTCTGGGTCCCAGGGTCAAAAACTAGAAATCCTGAGTCAGTCAAGGTTCAGGCTTAGCAAAAATTCATATAAGATGATTTATAGATGGCATCTCCCTCCAGCAAGACTAGCCAAAATGTATAAAGGATACTCAGCCTTATGTTGGACATGTAAAAAAGGGGCACTTTTTTTTCATGTGTGGTGGTCATGTAAGGAAACACAGGGGTATTGGCGTATGGTTTGGAAATGGGTAACAGAAATGAGCATACAAAATGTTCAATATAAGCCCGAGACATTTTTGTTAGGAATTGTGGAAGAAAATGTTAGTAAAGAGGATATGTATTTATTTATTCATGTGGTTACAGCGGCAAGAATAGTATTCGCTCAGAATTGGAAAAATTCAGCTGTACCTAGTGAGGAAATTTTAATTTATAAAATTATGCATTGCGTAGAATTAGATAGGTTAACTAAAAGACTCAAAAATCAGGATGTTATGGATTTTTACAAATATGGAATAAATTTTATAAGTGGTGGGGGGAAAAATTTGGAGGTCATTGTGATGAGATAAGTTAAGATTGAGTTTAGAGTGATGTTTTTGTATAGAGTTTAATTAATTATGAATAGGAATGAACTGAGATGTTGGTCAAGTCTGATTTACCATCTTCAATGTTTTTAAACTTTTTCTTATTTAATAAAAAATTATATATATATAAAAAAGGTTCAGGCTTAGCATAGGAGTCCACATCAAGTCAAGGGACAGTGAGCGAGCCATATGAATGGGTTAGGCACTTAGAATTAGGGTTAAGGATAGCATTAGGAAAACAGCAATTTTTGTAACATCTCTTAGAAGATAAACTATAAACGGAAATCCCACCAAGCTCTTGGTGATCCGATGGCAGCAGAAATCTGGATGTTTTTATTATTCTTGAACAATTCTAGGTTAAGTCCTGCTTATTCCCTGGTAACGGCCTTGTGCCAAATGATAGCAGAGTTTGGTTGCCACCCGTATTAAAAATAATAAATCCCATTTGTCCCCCAAAGTGAAAAGATTAGCCTCCTCATAACCATAGCCAGTCTTTCCAGGTCTGAGATGAAGCTTGATGGAGAAAAGTGAATTTTTAGGAGGAAGGCAAAGTTCATCTCCAAGGAAAAGCACATATGGAAAGGTCCACCTTTTGTGGAAACGCTCCCCAGGTGCTTCAAAGGATAGTTTGGGCAAGTCACTTTTTGAAGACTTTTTTGCACATACCACATTCATTGGGAGTGTCCTTCTGCCTTCAGCATCTAACAGAATAGTTTTTGTTATTTCTTATTTCTGTGAGTGGGTTGTGTTGTTTTGTATTTTGTACGCCTTTCAGTCACATTTGTGAGATGGACGACTACACAAATTAACCAAATTAACAAATAATACACATACCTAATTGTAAAACCACCAGATTCTGACACTGGCATGCCAACTCCTTCAGCTCCTGGAGGAAGAAAATAACAGAGTTTCAGCTTTCCTCTGGAGTAAAATTTGGAGTTTCGTAGAAAAAAAAACACGTGAGAAGGGGGTCTGAAGTCCAAAAACGACGATATCAAAAGGAAGATGAAGCAGGAAAAAATACATCATTTTCCCCCGCCTTAGATGCCATCTCTGCAATATTATTGAATCAAACAAACAAGCCTTAACACACCACATTCAGAATAAACACAAAATCAGAACCCCGGAAGTATGGCTTAACTCAACTAGTTGGGGCTCTCCACTGCTACTTCAAGTTTTTTAACTGAAAAAATAAAACAGGAATCAACTTCTTTGCTGCTGAGGGGGACTCCAGCTCCTCAAAGTCAGTGAGTATATTTGGAATTCTCTATGAAATATTAGTCTAGTTTTGAAAAATAATCATCATGCTTCATATGGCTGATATCGTGGATTGTGCACCTGTAGCAGCTGAGGGGACAGGATCTGTCTACCTCAGAGCTTTCCCAGAAAGAGTCACACATAAAGAGACTAAAAAATGCCAATCTGGAAGGAGGACGAAAGAGTTTTAGGATAATCACATCCTAGAATCTCATAGGATATATCTAGTAACTTAGAAAATTATAGCTGTAGTTTGGGAACATTCTCTCTAGTGTGTGTAACCAAACAGAGATTGGGCTCAATTGAATCTCACTGTCTTGTCTATGGCCTCGGGCTTGAGAACAATCAGAAACTACTCTTTTGGTAGGAAGCAGCCCAACCACACACATTGCTTATTTAACAATGGTTGCACGTATCATCCAAAATATACCAGATTGTATATTTTGTCTACTAAACATAATAGTTCAGTTATTATTCAATCCTACGCATATACATCTCTATGGGAAGGGAAGGAAGAGATCTATATAATATTAATATGGAATAAGCTCAATCCTTGACAGCTGGCTGGCTGACTGGATACGGATCAAAATGTTGTATGGGGTTTAAAGTGCAACACTGAGATTTGCACCGTGATAATTTTATAATTATTGATAATTTCAGCCTCTACCTTCTCACAGAATTTTAAAATTAAATAATCTTTTTTAAAAAAATAAGTAAAGGAGACTACCTGATAGATCCCCCAAATTGTGCTCAGCACAGTATTATATTTGGTATCATGTTAGATGCCCAGATCTTTGCTTCAATCTGGACAATGGAATATGATACAAAAAGTCAAATTAAAATAAGTCATAGCTTACTGTTGTAAGTAAATTGGGTTTCATTTCTCTGTCACATTTTTTCTAAAAGCTAAACTGGTGTCTCTGGGAGTCCACCTCACCACTGCTACTTGAAGTGATGCTCACCTTGTTGTCTTCTCCCTCCAGGTCAAGGGTTGTTGCAAAGACCCATTTGGGAGGACACGGCAGGTCCAGAAACCTCTTTACCAGACTTAGACCAATCCCCCGATCGGATCCGGTCACCAGAACACTGAAAACGGAGAAATTGTCTGACTTTGCCATCTCTCTGGGATCTGCGGTGTCTGCTTCCAACCTTCTTGAGTGCTGCCTTCAAATGCCTTTTTTTCCCCATCACAGGAAGCACAATTATGGGGATCACACCACACCCATCTTAAGATCTTCTGATAGGTTCCAAAACAAAATTTCCTGACTCAGGCTAGTAGTGCCAGAGCATAATCTGAAATTAGTTGTGGTTGAGACTTTAATTAAAATTACTAACCTCAAGACACTTTAATTTGATCACTGGAGCCTATAAAGAGAATCCCTAAATGCTGACATGGAACTTGATAGAAAAAGAAAAGCAATGTTGGTATCAAATAATAATTTTCAATACTACCATAGATAAGATCAAATAGGTAAGAATTTATTTGACAAAAAAGAATGAATTAAGGACAACTATTTACAAACACAATGATAAGAGTAAATATTTCTAAATAGAAAAACCAGTCTTGGTTTTATAGTGATTTTTCTCTTTCTTTTGTTCCATGCATCATAAATTTCCTTCTGTAGTTGAAGACCCCATTAAGGACTATATTAATAATGTTTTGTGGGACACCCAGAAAATTACTGCAGAGTAATCCACATACACACACCAATGCACCCGTGTCCACATGTTCCATTCTTCCAAAAGTGTGCAATTTCTGCTTACCTATTTTCAGCATTATTCTGCTGTAGTTAATGTGTACTTGTTCAGTATACTCATGTTAATTAATAAAGTAAGCTGCTTTGATCAGTGACATCTGAAGAAACAACTACATGATTTAAAGAGCACAGCAGGCTAATTCAGCATGTTTCAATCCCTTAGAACTTCAGTATCATGGTTCTGACAGATGAAACTATTCAAAGAACTTCGAGGCATTGTTTACCTTAAAGAATCTTTATTTGAGAAACATAGCATCAGCACTAACACAATCGAAGCCAAAAACTGGATTCTCCTCCCCTGAGCACATAGTATCAAAGCACAATTCCCTTCTCGATTAACAGTCATAAATCACATTCTCCAATTAGTTTGCAATGCAGGCTTTCCCTCCAGACCTCCAGCCCGCAAATTCTTATCATCTCTTATTTCAATAACCTTGAGTCACACACTAGGTCCAGTATTGTTACATCTAGCTAAACTCTCATGCACATTCCTAGCATCATCTAACTCTAGCTCTAACTCTAAGAGTAAAACATAGGAAGAAAATGGTTGCATCTCCAACTGTTGGCAAAGCAAAAACATCTGATGTTAGCAGCGTTGATATTCAGATCTTTGGGTCTATACCTGTAAGTCATCATCTTCTCAAGGGCAGCTAGGTAGCTTCCACATTTGTCCATGACAGTGCTGATGACATTGGGGTGAGACAGCTGGATCACCAGGGAAGTTGATGACCCACCAATCCACAAAGTTCCTGTTGTGCTCTTCAGAAAGCAAACCTAGAAATCAGCGTCAAGGATTCTGTGAATGTTTTGAAAAACAGGCATGTTAAATTAAGGCCCCTGCTCTGAGTAGAAACATGTTTCAATTAGGACCATTTTGCAACCGAAAGAATGGCAGATCAATTCTGTCCATGGCCTTCCTTTTGTCTCCAAGAGACTGATGTTTTGGGCGTTTGTCTTGGAACATATTTTCTCCCAGAGTGTTCAGAGGGGAACAGAGGTAGCCAGAGGTGGACATGAGCAGACAGGCCAGAATGTGTCCCTTAAGTATTCCAAAGCCTGATCTGCAGCACGTGTAAACAGAGAAAGAACCAGTCCATGGATCATTTGTGCTCATGTAAGACAAATATCTCATGGAAAAAAGCATGCAATGAAGATAAAACATGACAACTCTTTTGAGTTCCCAAATGTTCTTACATTTAACTAATAGGTAACAAATCAATGCATGATTATGTTGCCTATTTGGATATGGATGAACGCAGTCAATCAACCCTGGAAAAAACCATTCCTGTCAGGTTTCACGGTCTTTCTGCAGATAGGACATTTTATGTACAGGCCATATAACTCCCAATACCTTACTGCAGTGGTATGCTAGTGTCTAAGAAGCTGCTGATGTCTTGAAAAACTAGCCTAGAGGTTACTGCTCTAGGTTATTTGTCCACCGTTGGCTGATATTTTTCTGTCCAATTTAAGAAATGCAGCTATGGAGGAGAAGCACCAGAACTTCAAGGTTTTTAATTTCTCAACAAATCTGGCTTTAAGGACTTAATTGAAACATACTGAGACCCCAAATGTTGTGGTTCTCAGGGATTACAATTTGCACCTGGATAGGAAAAAAAGATGGCAAGGAATGAAACACCTTTACTGAACACCCAAAAGGTGACAATAGCACCCTCTTGAACCAACCATCTTTGTTTTCCAAAGCTTCTTCCTGAAGAAATAAAAGTAGATGGAGACACATATCACACTGATCACTCATGCAAAGCTCATAAAAAGGCAAAAAAACCATACCAGGGTGTTATTTTACAACATCCCCTCAGTGAAGACAAATGTCACATAGACATGCAATGAAGAAGGGAAAACAAAGACAAGTTTTTCATGACAATCGTTGATTTATTGGAGATTCATTACTTGAGAATATATTAGGTGTCCAAGGATTAGGAAGCCAATGGTTCACCAGGGTACCTGTCGACCCAACCAGTCCACAAAGGTCCCATTATCCTTCTCAGAAAGCATGGAAAGCACAGTCACGATGCCTTGTGTGCTCTCTTCCACGGTTAGATCTGCCTGTAACAAAAAAGAAACTCATCAGCACAGCCCAACTTCCTATAATGGCATGTGGGATCCTCTTTGGGAGACAGTAGGAAGAGCCACAGACCGGACAATGGTCAGAGAAGAGGCAGCTGAGCCTGCAGAAGTAGTGTCGACGTGGCAAACATCTCAGAAAAGAAGTTTCCTGGCTTCTTGGACTGTAAAAGTGAGTGGGTAGAGATGTACCTTTAGTCTTGCAGGATTCTGCTAATATAACCTTATAATGAAACAGAGCTAGCCCTGCTAGATATGGTTTTTGTCTGGATTACCTTAATCTTGCAAGTCTGAAGGGATCTCTCTCCCCTCTTGTCTTTATAGGTGACTATACAAAAGGTGGTGACTACAGAAAGATAACCAAGGCTAAGTACAGCCACTGGGTTAACCAGGGGGCTGGGCAGCACCTATCTCAACATCGTTGACAAAAGCCTATCTCATCCCTTCAAGATTTTTTTGGAAGTTGGGAAGAGATTAGATCAATTTCTTTGGGAGAAAAATGGGAAGGAAAGTTTGTTTAGAATCTATTCAGTTTGCATTGTTAAGAGTGCCAGACTTCCATCATCTTTACATGGAACACAAATTGCTCATTCAGTCTGTACGATGATCAGTATTTGCCTAACAGTCAAGGAGCGTTTATGTGTTTGCTTCAGTATATTGTCCTAATTCATACGATAGTAAACAAAATGCTAAAAACACAAATAATCAGAACACCCAAACTCATCATTAGGTCATTGATGCATGTCTGAATAGGTTTTCCTTTTTCTAGGTTAAAGTACTTACTTCTTTGTAAGTCGTCTTCACCCAGCCAGGATGGATGCAGACAGAGAGAATCCCATGGCGTGAATACTCAAGTGACTGGCATCTGGTGAGCATGTTTAAAGCAGTCTGTTGGGGACAAACAACAAAGTTGAGCAGGGAATGCACTGAAGAGATGATAGAAGGAAAAAATATGGTCAACTAATACAAGATATTAGGTGTATCAGTCAGGAAATGGAAGAAGTAGGAAGTCCTTCAGAATTTCTCTAAGCAGCTCGCCTTGACTCCAAAGGTAATGCAAATTGCAAACAGACAAGAATGAAATTTCAGAGTTGCAACAGTTTCATTTAAATTTATTTTTTTTTCTAAAAGAATTTGGGTAAGACACTAACAAAATGCTCAGCTCTCTACAAAGGAAGTAGATGGATGGATATAATTATAATTAACAATAAAATTATTAAATTTTCTGTATCCTTCTTAAATCCTCTTGGGTACTTTTACAGTTTCAAATGCAGAGGCTAGAATTCTGGTACCCTCAATCTCTGCAAAAGTCTTCAAACTTTGCCCAAACGTATTTAGGGCATTTGGGATCATGGTGGTTTGACTAAGACTGCAAGATCAATATAGGGCAATGCTGGGCCAGTTAAAACCCTTGCAACAGCCTTTGCAGAATGGCAAGAATGAACAGTTAAAAACTCTTCTTGTTGTGATGCACCATCTGCTCAATCTCACAGGTGGATAATAGATGCATGTTTATTCCCCAGGTAGATACAGAAAGGTTCAGTCATCTCTGTAAAGACTCTTCCTTCTGGTCATTAGGTTTTGTCTGTGTGCACGAACTTTCATGAAGGCATCGCATTACTGCACATTACCTTACTGCAACGATAGCCGATTCCTTTCCACTTATACCAAAGAAGCATCACTTCCATTGATCCTCCAGCACTGGAGATATTGATAATGGCCGCCTTGCTACAGCTCAGCCCTTCCTGTGGATTTCTCTGGGCTGCCTTCTTCAGCAGGGGCAGAAAGGCCTTTCAAGAAAGAAAGGAAGGAAGGAAGGAAAAGAAAGAATGGGCTGCAGTTAAATCTAGGGAAAGGGATTGCGAGATGGCAGCATCAAAAGCCAGCATCATACAGCTATACGATGGTCTGGTGGTAAGTGGTAGATTCTGGAGATCACACAATTCTAGGCATTTCCTGGCAGTTTCCTGTGGATTAAAATGAATCCCTCACAACTTTTGAAAACATGACTCTATCTCCACTTCATTTCTCTGTGGAGTCTTCAGAGTGTCTAACTCTGAAGGGATATAGTTTATTTTGACCACAAACTGACTCACAAACAACTAACAACAGTTCTTCTGACCCAACCCACTGCAGAAGAGAAAGTGTAATTGCAAACTCTCAGTTGTTACAACCTGCTTCCAAACCAGTACACATTTTCTACTTGTGATGACTTCAGTTACGTAGAACTCCATTGTTCAGTGTTTTAGTCTTACTTAATAAATCAGACTTGTTTGCCTGTAAGGATGGTTCTGAAAACGTAAACATTAACAAACCTGACTCATTTGCAGAGGGCCAATGGTGTTGGTGGAATATATTGTCATCATATTCTTGGCATTTTCTGTTTCAAGATCATTGAACAACCTAATGCCAGCATTGTTGACTAGGAGGGTCAACCCACCTTCTCCAACGCACTTTTCCACTTCTTTCAGAGCTGCCTGGATGCTCTCAAGTTTGGTGACATCTGTGGAACAATTAACATTACTTGAAATGGAGCCAGCATGCCATTTCACAATTGCTAAGGAGGACTTTCCTTCAAACTTTATAAGATTTGTGTATCCATCCTTGCAACCAGCCATCTTGGCAGCTACCAGCCCCCAATAGTTGAGGCATGGATCAGTCAGCAGCAAACCTAGAGTGATATTGTCTAAATATAAGAACTTTAAGATCACACACCCAATCTCTCTTAAAAAACTGGGCTCCAAGCAGAGCTGAAAAAAAATCAGTTAGCTGGTCTTGATGAGTGAGATCAAAGATCAATTGTGACCCAGAGTATATTTGCGCATCATACTCAAGTCATAACTTTATACTCAAAACCAATGGAATTATCTTACAATTTACTTCATCTATCCAATACCCTAGATCAAGCTATCATATTGCAGTAGAGATTGTGAGATCTCTGAACCCATCCTGATATAAAGTTTGCTTGCCCAAATGAATTGGGGCTATCCTATCAGGGCTGCAAAAAGACTTCATTAGTTTTCTCTCTTTTGTTCCTGACATGTCATTCTCATTGGTTTTTTTGAAGTCCAGAGCTTATAGCTCTAACTCATTCTGTTAACTGACAAACTACACAACTGGTGTCATTCAACATACCAGCCAAACCCCTAAAAAAAACCCACCAATAGTAACTAAACCCTAAAAACCCTGCAGTTCACCACCCAACTAGTGATTCTGCAAGTCATATTAGTTCCAAGAATGGCTTCTAGCTTGACACTTTACACATTTGTGTAGTGCAAAATGTATCCTATTTGCACAAGTTCCTTGAAACTTACCTAACTGTAACACCACGAGATTCAGATGTTTGCAAGCCAACTCTTTCACTTCCTAGAGGAAAATAAAGATCATGGGGTATTTTTCTAAGGTAATCCTCACAATTACGTCCAAGAAGCAGAGAATAATTTGAGCTGGATGTCAAAGAGGACAATGTCAAAAGGAAGAGCAAACAGGAAAAATATGCAATTTCTTTTTCACTAGATGGCAGCCATACAATATTAGTAGCTGAACAAAACCAAACCTTAAGAAATAAAACTTGTAATTATATATCAGGAGCAAGTAACAAGCTGAGCAAGATTCTAAAAAAAATAATATCAAAAAAGAGGACCAACTAGGAAAAGTATACAGTGTCTTTTTCATTAAATGGCAGCTGTGCAATATTACAGCTCCAATAAAACAAATGGTAACAAACCACTTTGAGGTTTAACATAATGTGTGAATCCATTCAGTACAGCTAGAGTCCCCAACCGACAGTCCACATCTCATTGCTACCTCTGATTTTCTTAACTGGAACAAACAGCTACCAAATCTGGTGCTGCTGAGGACAATCTGCCCAGCTTGCTCACCTCTGTCATTCCAACCATCACTACAGGATAAGATAGTTAATTGTGTGATTTTCAAGGCCACATCTTCTTCCGTCTTTCATCTGGAAGCTTAGTAAGTGTAGATGGTGCTCTCAATTTTTTTCTCCCCAACAACAACCCTGGGGAGCAAGTAGGCATGGGGATACTCAGGAGGCCCCCAATCATCTGTGAGCATCATGGTCAACTGAGGACTTGAACCAAGGTCATTTCAATCTCCATTCAACACAATAACTATTGTCCCCCAGGTAACTGATTCTTACCTTACTTTTCTCTGCCTCCATATCCCGAGTTGTAGCAAAGACCCATTTGGGAGGACAGGGCAGCTCCAGAAACCTCTTCACCAGACCCATACCGATCCCCCGATTGGATCCTGTCACCAGAACACTGAAAACGGAGAAATCCACTGATTTTGCCATTTCTCCAGGAGCTGCCGTGTCTGCTTTCAGCCTCTGAAAGACTTCCTTCAAATGCCTTTTTCCCATCAAAGAAGCACAATTATGGAGATGACACCACACCCGTTTTAAGATCTTCTGATAAACGTCAAAACTAAAATTTCAGGATTCAGACTAGTACTGCCGCAATACAATCTGCAGGTAGTTGTGGATGATATTTTAATTAAAATTGCTAACAAAAAGACATTTTAAGCCCTATTGTCCTCTTCACAAAACCTGGAAACACAGTCATGATGCCTTGTGTGCTTTCTTCCATGCTGATTTCTGTATGTCACAAAATAGCATCTCATAAGATTTAAAGAATCGGTTCTGCCAGCACAGAATCCTCACCTAAACAGATCAGCAGCTGTCTGACCTCACTATGAATTCTCAATCCTCGTATTAGAGTTGATTCCAAAACTTCAGTTGATGCAGACCCTGGAGAGTTAAATGACCCCAGTAAAATCCTTGTTGACACTGGAGCCTCCAGACCCATGCTGCTGAGATATGTCTTTGGAACACCCACATATGGACGCTCAATTATGTTAGGAAGAGGGAGAAGAAAGCCAGTTTTAAAGAGGACCACTACCATTTTTCAATACTTGTTGGATTAAAAGGTAATAAAAGCCAGGAAATTTATCTTCAATCTTCAGAGATTTTATTGGATCACATTCCCTGTGAGCAATGTGACGTCTGTTCTGTACCAGCTATGTTAGCAACTAGGCAGTTTACTTCTGAAGCTAATAGGAAATCATTATTAAAGCTAATAATGAATTAATTTTAGAGCTTTAACTAAGAGGAAGCACGGATGCCTTCCGTGGGTCTGCTGGTAGAGAGATCTACCATTGCGACCAGGATCAAAAGGAACCTTTTCATGGATTGACCCCATGTCAATAAAATGCCCTAACAAATAGATGACTAACATTATAATTTGTTGTGTCTTACAGACAGGTTAGTTTTGTGTTTGAATTTTTTCTGATGCAAGATAAAATGAGAAAGAAAGAGAGACTAATCCAACACACACACACGACATGGTCCAAATTTCTGATGACCCATTTTCAGCCTTATTGTTCTTCTGTATTTACTTAGTCTGAACTTAATTTTCAGTATTTTAATTTCATGTAAGAAAGTAAACTGCTTTGATTAGTGACATCTGAAAAACCATCACATTGTTAAGACAACATGCTGTTTCAGCTTGGAGCATCAGATCAGTCTCTTGGAGCATCAGATCTTTGGGTCAATCAACGCAATTGGTGTCATTCAACATACCAGCCAAACCCCTAAAAAAAAAAAAACAGCAACAGTAACTAAACCCTAAAAATACTGCAGTCATTAGGGCTAAAGGTGGGAAGAACCTACATATATACCTGTGTGACAGTTTAATGGTCCGGTCATAGAACGTGTAATCAACTTGCCTGTTGCCCCGCATTCAGCCGCACTAGTTCCGGCTCAGCCGTACAAGCCAGATTCCGTTTATATCTTGACAAGCCGGGTTGTACGGGTTGTACGGCTGAGCTGGAACTAGTGCGGCTGAATGCGGGGGAACGGGCAGGTTGATTACACATACTATGACCTGACCATTAAACTGTCACACAGGGCACACGAGGGCTTGTGTGAGGAGGAAGGAGATATTCAAGGGTTTCAGTCTGACATGGAGTCCGAGAACATTGACAATGGGGTGAAAGAGCAAGTAGATGTCAGACGGAATGGCAATGACAGAAACGGAGTTTATGCAGCCAAAGAGAGGGAAATGGAAAGCAAGGGATGGGGAGAAAGGCTGAGAGTGCTCCCCCATAGAATGAGGGATGACAATTGGGGAGCAAGTAAAGATCAGAAGAAGGAGGAAGGTAGGAGACACGGAGGTGTGAAGAAGGAACAACTTAGAGATATGAATGACCAAAAAAGGGGAGGAAAGAACCTCCTTAATTCAAGGCAGTGGGAGGTAGAGGGGAATAATGACACACCCACAAGCAGTAAAAGCAAGAAAAGAGGAGTCATCAGTATGGAAGCCTTAATTAAAAAGCAGTTAAATCAATTAGGACCTATGACAAGATCTAGGAGCCGTGTGCAAATGACGGCTCACCTATAAAGGCACTCTCCCACAGACCAGCATTAACCCTGACGATGTCAGAAGTATCTGATGAAAGCTTGGTGATCGGTGATGGTATTAAACTTTTATAGTTTATTATATTCCTGGTGTTCACGCTTTATTGGTAATTGATTATATATATATAATCGTCATCTTCAGGCTGGTGTTTTCAGCTTCGTGCTTTGAGCAGCAATGTCCACCCAATTAGAACAAAGCCAAGCTCCCACCCAATCAGTTCATACCCCCACTGGCAGTTAAAAGGAAGAAACAGCTAAGACCACACATTGCTGCTCAAAGCACGAAGCTGAAAACAACAGCCTGAAGATGACGAATGGGACTTCGTCGAAACGTCGCCAAGACACTTCCAATTTTACGCGGGAGAAAACCCGAACAACCAAAGACCTACATACAAACACCCGCGAAAACCTCAGAAAATATATATATATATATATATATATATATATATATATATATATATATATATGTTCTTCCCACCTTTAGCCCTTACTTTGATGATATTAACAGGAGGTTGATGAAAGCTCAGTGATTAAAAGGTTCTTTTGTATCCCGGAATTCAGTAACTTTATTGTTTTTCAAATGTTTGCACCTGGGATTCAAATATTTAAAATGATTAAAGATAAATATTTGATAAGTATTTGAAACTAATAGATCATGGTATAGACTTGACACATGAGGCTTATTTCCTCATCCTCTCACATTGCATATGAGACATGAAGAATATTGGTTATTTTTTTTTTAAATAAAAGCTTCTGAAAGAAAGAGAAAACAAAATCAAGATTTTCATGACATTCAGTGATTTATTTATTGCTTCTCACTTTATTATGAGTCAACGACATTAAGGAGAGACTGATGGATCACCAGGGAACTGGGCGACCCAACCAATCCAGAAAGGTCCCATTGTCTTCTTCACGGAGCTTGGACAGCACCGTCATGATGCCCCGCGTGCTCTCTTCCATGCTGATTTCCCACTGCCACAAAAAAGGACCTTATAAGGTTTAGAGAATCAGTCCTGGCCAACCCAGAACACTCACCTAAGCAGATCAGCAGAAGGCAGTTGGGCCTCTTGACCATAAATATTCAACTCTAATATAGAGACGGATTTGTATTTAAACTGGCCAATCTCATTTTGGCTTATAAAAGTACAGCATACAAGCACATCCCCTGTGATGGGTGATGATACAAAGCATCCTGTAAATCCCTAAGTTTGGGTTAGTTAAATTAATCATGGATGAGCAGGCCTTGCAAGTGCCGGTACTTAGTCAATAAAATTAATATTTGCAAAGTGGAACTCTTATTATTTGCTTTAGTATGCGAATTTTCCCGTTATGATTTCCAAAACAAAGGGTCAACCCTGCTTTGAATCTCAGGTATAACATGGACCGAGTCCTTTCATTTTGTATATACGCACATGCTTTCCTGCAGAAACACTGCAGAATCACCAGTAGAAGAGATTCAAACATGAGAAGGTAAGATTTAGTAGATTTTTTTAAAGAGGAAATGGATTTTAATTTTTATAGGGGAAGGTTGTTCATAATAATAATAATAATAATAATAATAATAATAATAATAATAATAATATAATAAGATTGGGTAGTACCAATAGGTGCAATCCCAAAACAACTGGAGCACCACTTGAACACCATTGGCATTGACAAATTCACCATTAGTCAATTGCAAAAGGCAGTCTTATTAGGAACTCAACGATATCTGTAATACCATCAAAAATCCACATCTGCCTATCCCAGTCCTTGGTAAGGTAGGTAGACAAAATGCCAAATCCAGTCTGAACATCTGGCTGACTATGCGATGATCAATAATAATAATAATAATAATAATAATAATAATAATAAAGTTGGAAGGGACCTTGGAGGTCATCTAATCCAACCCCCTGCTCAGGCAGGAAACCCTATACCATTTCAGACAAATGGCTGTCCAGTCTCTTCTTAAAAATTTCCAGTGTTGGAGCATTCACAGCTTCTGAAGGCAGGTTGTTCCACTGATTAATTGTTCTAACTGTCAGAAAGTTTCTCCTTAGATCTAAGTTGCTTCTCTCCTTGCTTAGTTTCCATCTGTTGCTTCTTGTCCTGCCTTCAGGTGCTTTGGAAAATAGCTTGACTCTCTCTTCTTTGTGGCAGCCCCTGAGATATTGGAACACTGCTATCATATCACCCCTTGTCCTTCTCTTCATTAAACGAGACATAACCAATTCCAGCAACCGTTCCTTATATGCTTTAGCCTCTAGTTCCCTAATCATCTTTGTTGCTCTTTTTGTTCTGTTAAAGATTCTGTTCCTTTACTGTCTTTACACCTAATTCGATGTTTTGATTCAAAGTGCAGCATAACTTTAACAGAAGTACTTGAGGCATCTATTTTTACACTAGCACATTATTTGTCCACAAATAATAAGAATATTTTCAGGGACTCACCATTAAGTCATTCAAAGGTGATGGGTCCTTGGTGCTCTCTGAGCTGCTTGGTTTTTTTCTTGCAGACATTTCATTACCCAAACTAGGTAACATCATCAGTGTACCGGTGTTAGCTAGTTTGGGTAATGAAATGTCTGCAAGAAAACAACTAAGCAGCTCAGAGAGCACCAAAGACCCTCATTTCAACCTTGAACTACAAATATTCTCCTTTATCATTCATACATCTTTGAAAATGTGCATTTATGTTGATTCATAGATAGCCGAATACATATGAATGTGTTATATCTTTTTCTCATGACATAAGGGATCCTCGGTGCTCTTTGAGCTTGGTTATGTTCTTGTAGAAGTTGCTTATTCAAACTATGTAATATCGTCAATCCTAGTCATCAGTGCTAGGGAACATTATCACTAGCTCTGATGATGTTACCTAGTTTGGGTAATGACACGTCTGCACAAAAACAACCAAGCACAGACCCCTCATATCAACCCCGAGCTTCAAATATTGTCCTTTATTGGTTTCCCAGGTCAAAAAACTTACAAATGGGTTGCGAGCAGTGTTGATTATTCCAGGATGGATGGCGACAGTCATAATGCCGTCAGCCGGATACTCAAGAGACTGGCACTTGGTAAGCATATTTAGAGCAGCCTATAAGAGGGAAAAAAAGAACCCATGAGGGGAAAATGCATTGAAGGAAAAAAGGAAGGATAAAGTGGAGATAAACAGTATATATAGGATGTTGTAGATTAAATGTTACATGGGGCTGGAAAGGCCTATGAGGCATACCAGCAATGAACTGAAAGATTGAGATCACACAAGGGAACAAATGTGTATCTTAATTATTCTGCCTCTCATGCAAGTGAAAAAATGTGGGTCCAGGTCTGCTTAATAATCTGTTTAATTATGAGTAAAAAGAACAAAAAAAATGGAAATAAATGTATATTAGTTTAAGAGGGATATGTATTTTAAGTAGTATATTATTCTTATTCTTCTCTCTCTCTCTCTCTCTCTCTCTCTCTCTCTCTCTCTCTCTCTCTCTCTCTCTCTCTCTCTCTCTCTCTGTCTTTTTGTCTTTCTTTTTATTTTTTTAGACACGAGAAATGTAAAAGTGTTGGGATGGCCTGTACGAGGAAAAGAGATTTAAATACTTAAATGTAATTAACCTTGAGAAAATCTTAACCAGTAAGAATGTTTTGAACATTGTAGGGAAAACAAATTTATAAACAGGATTTATGACGAGGCAACCAAGATGACCAGATAGAAAAGAAGCATGATATTGATGGGATTATTATTTGTAGAAATTTTAGAAAAATCCTTATATTTAATTGTTACCTATCAAACTAATAAGAATTGTATCAATTCAAGGTTGGCAAAGAGAATATTATTGGAAGAAGAGAAAATCAAGCAAAGCTATTATGTGGATTTTGCAATATAGAAACTGATTGTTAGTTATTGCCTTGCAAATATAAGTCCAGACAACATGCTGTTTACCAAGTATTAAGGTGTTTATGTTTAAAAAATCAATAAAATATATTTTTAAAAAAAATCTGTCTTGCCTGTAAAAACAATTTAGTGGTACGTTGGTACTCATCATTAATTAGTACGGGAGGTATGATTATCAAAACTGATGAGTACGAAAGATTTTTTTCCCCCTAAGGAATAATGTAGTGAGTCACAAGGTAGTCAACATTGACATGTTCCAGCTTGTGCGTTGAGTACCAAACAAACAATGAATACTGGGACAAAATGTTCACATCAAAATACGAGTAGCAAATTGGATGAGTTTCAAAGCAGTTGAGTACCAGGCTACCAATGCAGCTGCTTTTTGCAAATAAGAAGTATTTGTACCACCCCAACGCAAACATTTCTACTGGTATTGTTTTGTTTTTGTTGGTTCCTGATGAGTTGTTGACTTTTATACAATAAATGAAAATGGTAACATTTTGGTAGTACAAAAATGTACAAAAACAAACCTGTTCAAGTTACCTTTTTCTTTTCTTAACCTGAGTCCTTACATTAGAGGTAAATCATTCTCAAAAATAAATGAAATCTCTTTTTTTTTTTCAAAGAATCCTTTCCCACTGAATTTTGACAAAGTTCTTGTGGGGAAGAGCCCAAAAGGGGAAGTGAGTATTTTCAAACAATTTTGTCTGCATCAAAATTGGGAAAACTGCAGATGGAAGGGCAAAGATGACAGCAGGAAACCATCACTGCTGAACCAGGGCAGTGCGCCATCTCAGCAATTGATTAATATGCTACTTAGGGACACAACAAATGCATTCATGCATGAAAAAGGAGGTCTCAATATCTGCAGGCAGATCCACCTAGAAAACTCACTAGATACCTTAGCACAGCGGTATCCAATGACTTGAGATTGGTCCCAGTGAGCCATAAGTTCAATTGAGCCTGCAATGCTGGACATGTTGATAACAGCCGCCTTGCTGCTACTCAGCCCTTGACATGGGCTTCTCCGGGCTGCCTTCTTCAGCAGGGGTAGGAAGGCCTTGTAGAGAGAAGAAAAGAGAGAAGGAGCTACAGTCATGTCTAGAGAAAGGAACTGTACAATGCAGGGAAAGGTCTTCTGGCACCTGCTGCAAGGGGACCTTCATAGAGTCATCCAGGCCTGACCACACCCAGGAAAAGTGCTGTGTTCCAACACTCCCTAACAAAACCCCACACCCCTAATGTTTCCACCTGCTCCCAAATCACTGTACAATGTCTACCTTGTTGTTTTGAGCATTACAGTATTACCATACTCCCAATTAAAGCAGTCTTCCTTGCATTGAAGAGTGTTTTGTTCATAAAACAAACCTGACTCATTTGTAGTGGACCAATGGTATTGACAGAATAAACTCTCATCATATCTTTGGCATTTTCTGTTTGCAGATCATTTGTGTCCCAAATGCCAGCATTGTTGTACAGGATGGTCAGCCCACCTTCTCCAACACACTTCTGCACTTCTTTCACAGCGGCCTGGATGCTTTCAAGTTTAGTAACATCTAAGGAAAAGCAACGTTACTAAAAACGTCAGCAACCTTGAGTTTCAGAATTGCACAGGATGAATTTCCTGAAACCACAGTCTCCTCCCTTCTCAAACCAGAGAGATACGGGGAGTTACTTTATCTCAGATGCTCATGAATTGTGCTTTATCTGACTCCCACCTCTTGGAAGGAGGAGCAGCTTGTCTATTTGTGTGTGTGTGTGTGTGTGTGTGTGTGTGTGTATGTGTGTGTGTGACAAAACGATCTACCCCAACTCAAAGAAACCCAACCACAAACACCAACAAATATGTTTATTGATCAATCAGCTGTCCACATCAACAATATATGAATGTGATGAATTCAACACCAAAGCTGCAGAGTCTTTCTCCAAATGGAACACCCTGGAACCACAGATACATCCCAGAATACCTCGTTGTTCAAAACGTTCTCCAGAGAAAGCTAGTCTAACATGCGGAGGCATGTAAGTTAAATTCTTTTCTCTCTGGGAAATTAACTTTCATGAACCCAGCCAATGATGTTATAGCTTTGGTTAGTTCTGAGGATAACTTTGAATTTTGTTGCTCTGGACATGCCTGTCGTACCAAGTTTGCCCCATTTTCACATGGCCTTGGAACTCACCTAATTGCAAGACCACTAGATTCGGACATTTGCAAGCCAGCTCTCTTAGCTCCTGGAGGAAACAAAAAAATAATTTTTCCGTGCATTAAAACTCACAGACAATGAGAGAGTCGGCTGGATGTCGACGAGGACAATCTCAAAAGCAAGAGCAAGCAGGAAAAGTATGCAATTCCTCCTTCATTAGACGTCATTTCAATCTCTATTCAACACAATAACTATTGTCTCCCATTGTCCTGCTAGGTGAACTGATTCCTACCTTGGTTTCTTCTCCCTCCAGGTCAAGGGTTGTAGCAAAGACCCATTTGGGAGGACAGGGCAGCTCCAGAAATCTCTTCACCAGACCCAGACCGATCCCCTGATTAGATCCTGTCACCAGGACGCTGAAAACGGAGAAATCCACTGACTTCGCCATTTCTCCAGGAGCTGCTGTGTCTGCTTTCAGCCTCTGAAAGACTTCCTTCAAATGCCTTTTTCCCATCATAGAAGCACAATTATGGAGATGACACCACACCCATTTTAAGATCTTCCGATAAACGTCAAAACTAAAATTTCAGGATTCAGACTAGTAGTGCCGGAATACAATCTGCAGGTAGTTGTGGATGATATTTTAGTTAAAATTACTAACAAAAAGACATTTTAAGCCCTATTGTCCTCTTCACAAAACCTGGACAACACAGTCATGATGCCTTGTGTGCTCTCTTCCATGCTGATTTCTGTATGTCACAAAATAGCATCTCATAAGATTTAAACAATCGGTCCTGCCAGCACAGAATCCTCACCTAAACAGATCAGCAGCTGTTTGACCTCACTATGAATTCTCAAGCCTCGTATTAGAGTTGATTCCAAAGCTTCAGTTGATGCAGATCCTGGAGAGTTAGATGACCCAGCAAAATCCTTGTTGACACTGGAGCCTACAGACCCATGCTGCTGAGATATGTCTTTGGAACACCCACATATGGACGCTCAATTATGTGTCCATGTTTCTGTGTGCATGTGTGTTAGGAAGAGGGAGAAGAAAGCCAATTTTAAAGAGGACCACTACCATTTTTCAATTCTTGTTGGATTAAAAGGTAATAAAAGCCATGAAATTTATCCCCAATCTTCAGGGATTTTATTGGATCACATTCCCTTTGGGAACAGTGTGGTCCCAAAGGTGATGTCTGTTCTGTACCAGCTATGTTAGCAACTAGGCAGTTTACCTCTGAAGCTAATAGGAAATCGTTATTAAAGCTAATAATGAATTAATTTTAGAGCTTTAACTAAGAGGAAGCACAGATGCCTTCCGTGGGTCTGCTGGTAGAGATCAAAAGGAACCTTTTCATGGATTGATCCCATGTCAATAAAATGCCCTAACAAATAGATGACTAACATTATAATTTGTTGTCTTACAGACAGGTTAGTTTTGTGTTTGAATTTTTTCTGAATCAAGATAAAATGAGAAAGAAAGAGAGACTAATCCAACACACATACACGGCATGGTCCAAATTTCTGATGACCCATTTTTAGCCTTATTGTTTTTCTGTATTTACTTAGTCTGAACTTAATTTTCAGTATTTTAATTTCATGTAAGAAAGTAAACTGCTTTGATTAGTGACACCTGAAAAACCATCACACTGTTAAGACAACATGCTGTTTCAGCTTGGAGCATCAGATCAGTCTCTTGGAGCATCAGATCTTTGGGTCAATCAACGCAATTGGTGTCATTCAACATACCAGCCAAACCCCTAAAAAAAAAAAAAACAGCGACAGTAACTAAACCCTAAAAATACTGCAGTCATTAGGGCTAAAGGTGGGAAGAACCTACATATATACCTGTGTGACAGTTTAATGGTCCGGTCATAGAACATGTAATCAACTTGCCCGTTCCCCCGCATTCAGCTGCACTAGTTCCGGCTCAGCCGTACAAGCCAGATTCCGTTTATATCTTGACAAGCCGGGTTGTACGGCTGAGCTGGAACTAGTGCGGCTGAATGCGGGGGAACGGGCAGGTTGATTACACATACTATGACCTGACCATTAAACTGTCACACAGGTATATATATATAGGTTCCTCCCACCTTTAGCCCTTACTTTGATGATATTAACAGGAGGTTGATGAAAGCTCAGTGATTAAAAGGTTCTTTTGTATCCCGGAATTCAGTAACTTTATTGTTTTTCAAATGTTTGCACCTGGGATTCAATTATTTAAAATGATTAAAGATAAATATTTGATAAGTATTTGAAACTAATAGATCATGGTATAGGCTTGACACATGAGGCTTATTTCCTCATCCTCTCACATTGCATATGAGACATGAAGAATATTGGTTATTTTTTTTTTAAATAAAAGCTTCTGAAAGAAAGAGAAAACAAAATCAAGATTTTCATGACATTCAGTGATTTATTTATTGCTTCTCACTTTATTATGAGTCAATGACATTAAGGAGAGACTGGTGGATCACCAGGGAACTGGGCGACCCAACCAATCCAGAAAGGTCCCATTGTCTTCTTCACGGAGCTTGGACAGCACCGTCATGATGCCCCGCGTGCTCTCTTCCATGCTGATTTCCCACTGCCACAAAAAAGGACCTTATAAGGTTTAGAGAATCAGTCCTGGCCAAACCAGAACACTCACCTAAGCAGATCAGCAGAAGGCAGTTGGGCCTCTTGACCATAAATATTCAACTCTAATATAGAGACAGATTTGTATTTAAACTGGCCAATCTCATTTTGGCTTATAAAAGTACAGTATACAAGCACATCCCCTGTGATGGGTGATGATACAAAGGATCCTGTAAATCCCTAAGTTTGGGTTAGTTAAGTTAATCATGGATGAGCAGGCCTTGCAAGTGCCGGTACTTAGTCAATAAAATTAATATTTGCAAAGTGGAACTCTTATTATTTGCTTTAGTATGCGAATCTTCCCGTGTTACGATTTCCAAAACAAAGGGTCAACCCTGCTTTGAATCTCAGGTATGACATGGACCGAGTCCTTTCATTTTGTATATACGCACATGCTTTCCTGCAGAAACACTGCAGAATCACCAGTAGAAGAGATTCAAACATGAGAAGGTAAGATTTAGTAGATTTTTTTAAAGAGGAAATGGATTTTACCTTTTATAAGAGAAGGTTGTTCAAAATAATAGTAATAATAATAAAAAGTTGGAAGGGACCTTGGAGGTCATCTAATCCAACCCCCTGCTCAGGCAGGAAACCCTATACCATTTCGGACAGATGGCTGTCCAGTCTCTTCTTAAAAAGTTCAGTGTTGTAGCATTCACCGCTTCTGGAGGCAGGTTGTTCCACAGGTTAATTGTTCTAACCGTCAGGAAGTTTCTCCTTAGTTCTAGGTTGCTTCTCTCCTTGATGAGTTTCCATCTGTTGCTTCTTGTCCTGCCTTCAGGCGCTTTGGAAAGTAGCTTGACTCTCTCTTCTCTGGGGCAGCTCCTGAGATATTGGAACACTGCTATCATGTCCCCACTCGTCCTTCTCTTCATTAAACGAGACACACCCAATTCCAGCAGCCGTTCCTTATATGTTTTAGCCTCCAGTTCCCTAATCATCTTTGTTGCTCTTTTTGTTCTGTTAGAGGTTCTGTTCCTTCACTGTCTTTACAAGTAATTCAATGTTTTGATTCAAACTGCAGCGTAACTTTAACAGAAGTACTTGAGGTATCTATTTCTACACTGGCACATTATTTTGTCCACACAAAGCACTAAAAACCCAAATAATAGGAATATATTCAGGGACTCATCATTAAGTCATTCAAACGTGAGGGGTTCTTGGTGCTCTCTGAGCTGCTTGGTTTTTTTTTCTTGCAGACATTTCATTACCCAAACTAGGTAACATCATCAGTGTACCGGTGTTAGCTAGTTTGGGTAATGAAATGTCTGCAAGAAAACAACTAAGCAGCTCAGAGAGCACCAAAGACCCTCATTTCAACCTTGAACTACAAATATTCTCCTTTATCATTCATACATCTTTGCAAATGTGCATTTATGTTGATTCATAGATAGCTGAATGCATATGAACGTGTTATATATTTTTCTCAAGTCATAAAACAGTGATGGCAAACCTTTTAGAGACCGAGTTTCCAAACTGCAACCTAAAACCCACTTATGCATCGTCGGGTGCTGGGTAGGTGTGGCCCATTGGGTGGGTGTGGCCGATTGGGTGGGCGTGGCTGCAGTGGTACCGGCAGACTGGGTGGGACTAAAAAGTTCAATCAATCAATTCCAACTTTGCAAGATCTCTTTTTTCCTGCGAGATGTTGAAATTGACTGTTTGATTGAATCTTTTTTTTTTTTTTTTTTGCACACGGCGGTGGAGGCCTAAAGTGAAAAGGTTTTATAAAACCCAGCTGAAGGCCTAGCACTGGGATGACGGCATGTGTGCCACAGAGAGGGCTCTGAGTGCCGCCTCTGGCACCCGTGCCATAGGTTCGCCACCACTGTCATAAGGAATCCTTGGTGCTCTTTGAGCTTGGTTATGTTCTTGTAGAAGTTGCATTATTCAAAATAGGTAATATCATCAATGCTGGTCATCAGTGCTACGGAACATCATCACTAGCTCTAGTTTGGGTAATGACATGTCTCCAGAAAAACAACCAAGCACAGACCCCTCATACCAAACCCAAGCTTCAAATATTGTCCTTTATTGATTTCCCAGGTCAAAAAACTTACAACTGGGTTGTGAGCAGTTTTGACTACTCCAGGATGGATGGCAACAGTCATAATGCCGTCAGCTGGATACTCAAGAGACTGGCACTTGGTAAGCATATTTAGAGCAGCCTACAAGAGGGAGGGGAAAAAAGAACCCATGAGGGGAAAATGCATTGAAGGAAAAATGGAAGAATAAAGTGGAGATAAACAGTATATATAGAATGTTGTAGATTAAATGGATGCATCTCAGTAATTGGTTAGAAGTACATCTTAATAAGGGATGCACAAGCACAGACAAATGCATTTATGGTCCCAATATCTGCAGGCAGATCCACCTAGAAAACTCACTAGGTACCTTAGCACAGCGGTATCCAATGACTTGATATTGGTCCCAAAAAGCCACAAGTTCAATTGAGCCTCCAATGCTGGACATGTTAATAACAGCCGCCTTGCTGCTACTCAGCCCTTGACATGGGCTTCTCCGGGCTGCCTTCTTCAGCAAGGGTAGGAAGGCCTTGTAGAGAGAAGAAAAGAGAGAAGGAGCTACAGTCATGTCTAGAGAAAGGAACTGTGCAATGCAGGGAAAGGTCTTCAGGCATCTGCTGCAAGGGGACCTTCATAGAGTCATCCAGGCCTGACCACACCCAGGAGAAGTGCTGTGTTCCAACACTCCCTAACAAAACCCCACACCCCTAATGTTTCCACCTGCTCCCAAATCACTGCACAATGTCTACCTTGTTGTTCTGAGCATTACAGTAGTACCGTACTCCCAATTAAAGCAGTATCCTTTCATTGAAAAGTGTTTTGTTCATAAAACAAACCTGACTCATTTGTAGTGGACCAATGGTATTGACAGAATAAACTCTCATCATATCTTTGGCATTTTCTGTTTGCAGATCGTTGAAGGCCGAAGTGCCAGCATTGTTGTACAGGATGGTCAGCCCACCTTCTCCAACACACTTCTGCACTTCTTTCAGAGTGGCCTGGATGCTTTCAAGTTTAGTAACATCTAAGGAAAAGCAACATCATTAAAAACATCAGCAACCTTGAGTTTCAGAATTGCAAAGGATGAATTTCCTGAAACCAGTCTCCTCCCTTTTTAAAGCACAGAGATGCAGGGAGTTACTTTAGGTCAGACGCTCATGAATGGTGCTTTATCTGATTCCCACCTCTTGGAAGGAGGAGCAGCTTGTCTATTTTTAACTCTGTGTGTGTCTGTCTGTGTGTGTGTGTGTGTGTGTGTGTGTGTCACAAAACAATCTACCCCAACTCAAAGAAACTCAACCACAAACACCAAATATGTTTATTGATCAATCAGCTGTCCATATCAACAATATATGAATGTGATGAATTCAACACCAAAGCTGCAGAGTCTTTCTTCAAATGGAACACCCTGGAACCACAGATACATCCCAGAATACCTCGTTGTTCAAAACGTTCTCTGGAGAAAGCTAGTCTAACATGCGGAGGCATGTAAGTTAAATTCTTTTCTCTCTGGGAAATTGACTTTCATGAACCCAACCAATGATGTTATAGCTTTGGTTAGTTCTGAGGATAATTTTGAATTTTGTTGCTCTGGACATGCCTGTCGTACCAAATTTGCCCCATTTTCACATGGCCTTGGAACTCACCTAATTGCAAGACCACTAGATTCGGACATTTGCAAGCCAACTCTCTTAACTCCTGGAGAAAAAAAAAAAGATGATAATTTTTCCGTGCGTTAAAATTCACAGACAACGAGACAGTGAGGTGGATGTCAAAGAGGACAATCTCAAAAGCAAGAGGAAACAGGAAAAGTATGCAATTTCTCCTTCATTAGACATGCAATATCTCTGACTGAACAAAACTTAAGAAACCACATTAAGGCTTAAGGCAAGATGGGATAACACTCCATTCAACTTAACCCAACCAGATATTGCTTCCTCCATACCTTCCACACTCTTGTGCTGATTCAAAGCTTTTAAAGTGTAAGTTCTTATTATTAGAGTGCAGTCTGTCCATCAAGTGACATTGATGAAGACTAAAAGAGCTAATTATTGTAGGAAGCCATTTTGTTAATTTGACCAGGTGTAAATCTTGGTGAATGGCTCACACTGGAGTCCCCTTCTCTTTTGAGACAGGGCACACTTTTGGAATTGGGAGTATTACCTCGTAAAAACTTGCCAGTGTTTATCTGGCCAATTAGGACCAATATACCCTTTTAGTGGGAAGCAAATTGATCTACTCACATTTTGTTTTGTAGGAATAGAACGCATTAAGCAGAGTATTTATGGGGTGGAAGTAAAGGGGGCTTGAAAAGATTAAAAAAAATTCAGAGATGTCATGAATTGTATTGATGTGAATTACATTTAATTAAATCTTGTTTTTACAGTTTCACCTCTTTCGCTATGCCTTAATTTATTTTGCTTCTTACTTTGATCTGCTTATTCTATTCCTCTGCTTTGAATGGCATTGTGTGTTTTAAACAATGCTTTATGCCTGAATGTAAGGAAAAGTATGTTATAGAGAAGAAGAAATAACAAGGATCATACAGTCAAAAGGGGGTTAATACATAATAACTAAATAACTAAAGTCATTAAAATTTAGGAAAAAAGAAAAGGGGAATACTATATTATTTAAACAGAATGAACTCAAACTGCATTTTACTTAGCACTGCTTGCTGCAAAAAGAAAGAATAAAATTATTGTGTATATATATATATATAGGTCTTTGGTTGTTCGGGTTTTCTCCCGCGGGAGAAAACCCGAACAACCAAAGACCTATATACAAATACCCGCGAAAACCTCAGAAAAAAATATATATATATATATATATATATATATATATATATATATATATATATATATATATATGGGTCAGAATATTCCTGGGGTGCTCAAAATGCAAGCCTGACATTCAGCCTCAGTCCAACTTCTAAACCACAACGTCCAAGCCATCCTATACTAATTCATTCTTACCTTGTTGTCTTCTCCCTCCAGGTCAAGGGTTGTAGCAAAGACCCATTTGGGAGGACAGGGTAGCTCCAGAAACCTCTTCACCAGACCCAGACCGATCCCCCGATTGGATCCTGTCACCAGAACGCTGAAAACGGAGAAATCAACTGGCTTTGCCATCTTCTGGACTGCAGCTTCTGCTTCCAACCGGTTCAAAGGTGTGTATCAAATGGCTCTTCTCATTATGGGGAGCAACTTTATAAGGAACAGACAACACCCACCTTTAGATCTTCCAAGGAACATTATTTATTTATTATCAAAGTTGTTTGCTGCCAACTCCCACCAGAATTAACTTATTAAAAAAAACGCCAGATTGCTTGCTACAGCTGAAGGAACATTCAGGATGGATGGAAGGCAAGTTGCTGCTGTCTACAATTTGTCTGTGGTTTACTTGCATCACCAACTGTAATACACTGTACTTTATAGGACAGCCCTATTCCTGAATTCCTCTCTGGAAAAAAGGGGAGATGAGCATGTCTTGCCTTACATGTCATTCTTCATGTTAAAGTCGGTCTGAACCTAGACATGGCACTTCCACTCTTTTCATAGCCTTACCCTTTCCACTGGAAAGTGCCATCCCAAGAAACTGAATTACCTAAAAAGCTATTGGCCCTTCACAGTAGACCAGACAAGAAACACAAAGCATGTGTGTTATGCCTTCTCTGATCTTATCTTTTTCTAGACAGCATTTCTCCCCACCCACCCACCCCGGAAAGTGTAGCAACTCATTGCTTACATGGCCTTCATCACTTCAGGTATCTAGGTGGATTTGCCTCATGAGATCTACAATGATGGAGTCACCTGCCATGGAAGAATGGATTGTGAAAATGGCAGAAATAGCACCGCTGACCTATTTGGACAGGGACAAAACGGCAAGTTTTTTTTATAAAAGCTTGGAAACCTTGTAGGCCTCTTTCTGGAAATGGAAAAATATGAAATGATGAGTTTGGGATTTCTGCAATTCCAGCTAAAAAAGGAATGAATAAGAGAGATATCGGAGTATGTGAGATAATAAATGTATATGCTTTATACACCTTTCAATCAATATTCCCAACCTTCCCAAAAAAACCCTCTGAAAGCAAGAGTTATTACAGTTATTACATTAGGTTATTACAGAAAACAGCCCTGCTTACTACAACTGAAGGAACGTTGAGGAAGACGAGTTACAGCCCAGCAAAATTTGTATATGATTTACCTGCATCTTCTGCTGCAATATAGTTGATGGGACACTCCTATTCCTGAATTCATCACTGGAAAAAGGATGGGTAAAGCATGCCTTGCCTTAAATCAGCGGTCTCCAATCTTTCCGGCTTGGCTGACCAGTGTAGGGAAGAGGCGATTGTTTCACGCGCACGCTGTTTTCACAAATGCAGCTCATCAACCACTTCCGCAGCACGGTTGTAAACGGGCAGGGAACCGGGCTGCAGACCGGGGGTTGGGGACCCCTGCCTTCAATGTCTTACTTCATGTCATAGCCAATTCGAATCCAGAGGTTGTGGCACATCCACTCTTTTCATGGCCTTCCGCTCTTCCGATGCTTATACGGTACAGATATATGTGTGGATTCACCAAGATTATGATAAGGACAATGATGGAGAAATATTGGAACAGCCTCAAGGGAGGAATGGATTACGAAACTGGCAGAACTGGCACCACTGGTCTATTTGGACAGGGACAAAGCAATAAATAAATAAATAACGAAGAGAAGGACGAAGGGGGACATGACAGCAGTGTTCCAATATCTCAGGGGCTGCCACAAAGAAGAGGGAGTCAAGCTATTCTCCAAAGCGCCTGAAGGCAGGACAAGAAGCAACGGGTGGAAACTAAGCAAGGAGAGAAGCAACCTAGAACTAAGGAGAAACTTCATGACCGTTAGAACAATTAACCAGTGGAAAAACCTGCCTCCAGAAGCAGTGAATGCTCCAATACTGGAAGTTTTTAAGAAGAGACTGGACAGCCATTTGTCTGAAATGGTATAGGGTTTCCTGCCTGAACAGGGGGTTGGACTAGATGACCTCCAAGGTCCCTTCCAACTACTTCTTCTTCTTCTTCTTCTTCTTCTTCTTCTTCTTCTTCTTCTTCTTCTTCTTCTTCTTCTTCTTCTTATTATTATTATTATTATTATTATTATTATTATTATTATTATTATTATTATTATTATTAATCATCGCACAGTCAGCCAGATGTTCAGACTGGATTTGGCATTTTGTCTACCTATGGAGTCCTTACCCAGGACCTGGGATAGGCAGATGTGGATGTTTGATGGTATTACAGATCTCGTCGCAGGATGGAAGCAGTTCCTAGTAAGGCCGCCTTTTGTAATTGACTAATGGCAAATTTGTCAATGCCAATGGTGTTCAAGTGGTGCTCCAGTTGTTTTGGGATTGCACCCAAGGCGCCTATGACTATTGGTACTACCCTTGCTTGCTTTTGCCACCGTCTTTCTATTTCTATTTGTAGGTCTTTGTATTTTGTTATCTTCTCCAGTTCTTTCTCTTCTATTCTGCTATCTCCAGGCACTGCCACATCCACTATCCAGACTTTTTTGTCTTTCTTATCGACAATTGTTAAGTCTGGGGTGTTATGTTGCAGGTGCTTGTCTGTTTGAATTCTGAAGTACCAGAGCAGTTTAATTTTATCATTTTCTATTATTATTATTATTATTATTATTATTATTATTATTATTATTATTATTATTATTATATACTTTTATAAAAGACTGGAAGGTTTCTGGACTTTTTGATGGAAATGTGGGAAAAAAGTGAAATGATGAAAAAGGACTGAATAAGGGAATTTTATAATAACGAAGAGGGTGGATGGAAAATTGAGTTTGTTGAAAACTAGAATACAAGGTTGGAACTTGCTAATCTTTTCTGATTCTCGTTTCTTAAATCATCTTTCTTTTTTTCCCCTTATTGCCTGGATTTCTTTTTATTGCGTGCGTGTGTGTGTGTGTGTGTGTTGTGTATTTTCATACTTTATACATCTTTGGAGTCAGTCTTCCCAACTTCCCTAATATTGGACAATTTCTTTTTTTTAAAAAAAAACTTTTGAAAGAAACAGAAAAGAGAACCAAGATTTTTGTGACATTCAGTCATTTATTGGAGGCTCCATCGCCTCTCATTCTATTAAGGGTGAGACCGATAGATCACCAGGGAACTGGGCGACCCAACCAATCCAAAAAGGTCCCGTTGTCCTCTTCACAAAGCTTGGACAGCACCGTCATGATGCCTTGCGTGCTCTCTTCCACGCTGATTTCCGGCTGCCGCAAAAAAAGATCTCATGAGGTTTAAATAATTGATCCTGCCCAGCCCAGAACCCTCACCTAAGCAGATCAGCAGAATTGCAGTTGGATCTCTTGATCATAAATGTTCAATACCAACAGAGATGGATTTGTATTAAACGGGCCAATCTCATTTTGACTTACAAAGGTATACGCCTGTGAAGGGCGATAGTGCAAAACATCATGAAAATCCCTAAATGGGTTACTTAAATTAGGTTAATCATGGATAAGCATAGCTTGGAAGTGCAGCAGTGAATAAACAAAATTACTTCTAATATTTGCAAAGCAGAACTCTTATTATTTGCTTTAGTATATGAACCCTCTGTCTTTCCCAATTAAATGAGTGGACCCTGTTTGGCCTATTACACATGAGACAGACCGAGTCCTTGTCATTTCATATATAAGGACATGTTTCCTGCAGACACAGTGCTCTGCAAATAGAGAGAATCACCAATAAAAAAAATTCAGACATGAGAAGGTAAGATTTAGTAGACTTTCTTTTAAGAAGAAATGGATTTTAACTTTTTTAAGGTTAAGTATGTTCTGCTTGTTCAGTTTGTTCAGCTACAATTTCCATTTCTTGTTTGTTTTTATATCTTATTCAATGTTTCATTTAAACAGTAGCATAGCCTAAACAGAAAAAATTGGATATACCCTATTTTTACACTAGCACATTATTTTATCAAACAGGACAATAAAAACCAAATAATTAGAATACTAAAACTTTCAGGGACTTATATCAGATAATTCATATGCCATAGTTTATCTTTGGGAATACATATATATATCTAAATACATAAAAATGTGTTATATCATTTCCTACATCAAAAAACAACAACCTTACATCTGGATTATTTTTAGTATTAACTGAGCCAGGATGGATGGCGACACTCATAATCCCATCGGCTGGATACTCAAGAGACTGGCACTTGGTGAGCATGTTTAGAGCAGCCTGCATTGTTGAAAAAAAGAGCTCTGAGGGTACAATAAATTAAAGAGAAAAAGGAAGAAAAACATAAAGATAAATAGTGCACAACAGGAAATTGTTACATGGGGCTGGCAAGGCCTATGCATTACACTAGAATTGAACAAAAAAATTATTTGTAGATACAAAAGCAAAGAAATGTGTATTTTAATTATTTTGCATTTCATGCCAGTGAAAATGTGTGTCGGGGTCTATTTAATAACCTAGCCGGCCTGTCAAAACAATATCCCATCAAACAGTTGGGTGTTTTGCAAATAAGAAGCCTTTGTATCTATGCAAGGTAACAATTCCCACCGATATTGGTTTTGTCCTGATTTCCTGATGACATTTTCACTTTTCCACATAAATAAAAATGGCTGAGCACAAAAGAATTGAGGCTTTTGAACTATGGTGCCGGAGAAGACTCCTGCAAGTCCCCTGGACTGCAAGGCGATCAAACCAGTTAGTCCTAGAGGAGATCAACCTTGACTGCTCTTTAGAAGGCCAGATCCTGAAGTGGAAACTCAAGTACTTTGGCCACCTAAGGAGAAGGAAGAACTTACTGGAGAAGAGCCTAATGCTGGGAAAGATTGAAGGCAATAGAAGAAAGGGACGACAGAGAATGAGGTGGCTAGGTGGAGTCACTGAAGCAGTAGGCGTGAGCTTAAATGGACTCCAGAAGATGGTAGAGGACAGGAAGGCCTGGAGGAACATTGTCCATGGAGTCGCGATGGGTCAGACACGACTTCGCAACTAACAACAACAACAAAAATGGAAAAGACTTTTGTTGCACCAAAATGCACAAAGACAACCCATTCAAGTTATGCTTTTTTTCTTCTTAATTCCAATCATTACATTAGAAGTAAATCTTTCTCAATGGTAAATGAAATCTCTTTTGTTTTTTTAAAAAAGAGACATTTGAATTTGGATAAAGTTCTTGTGAGGAAGAGCTCAAAGGGGCAAGGAACAACTTTCACATTTGCTCCCTTCACCAGTGCAAAGTCTGGGAACACTATTTGTAATGTAGAAGAGCAAAGAAGAAGAACATCATTGCTGTCCCAGAGCTGGGACACCACACCTGGATGCATCTCAGTAATTGGTTAGAAGTACATCTTAATAAGGGATGCACAAGCACGGACAAATGCGTTTATGGTCCCAATATCTGCAGGCAGATCCACCTAGAAAACTCACTAGGTACCTTAGCACAGCGGTATCCAATGAATTGATATTGGTCCCAAAAAGCCACAAGTTCAATTGAGCCTGCAGTGCTGGACATGTTGATAACAGCCGCCTTGCTGCTACTCAGCCCTTGACATGGGCTTCTCCGGGCTGCCTTCTTCAGCAAGGGTAGGAAGGCCTTGTTGAGAGAAGAAAAGAGAGAAGGAGCTGCAGTCATGTCTAGAGAAAGGAACTGTACAATGGCAGGGAAAGGTCTTCTGGCACCTGCTGCAAGGGGACCTTCATAGAGTCATCCAGGCCTGACCACACCCAGGAGAAGTGCTGTGTTCCAACACTCCCTAACAAAACCCCACACCCCTAATGTTTCCACCTGCTCCCAAATCACTGCACAATGTCTACCTTGTTGTTTTGAGCATTACAGTATTACCATACTCCCAATTAAAGCAGTCTTCCTTGCATTGAAGAGTGTTTTGTTCATAAAACAAACCTGACTCATTTGTAGTGGACCAATGGTATCGACAGAATAAACTCTCATCATATCTTTGGCATTTTCTGTTTGCAGATCGTTGAAGACCCAAATGCCAGCATTGTTGTACAGGATGGTCAGCCCACCTTCTCCAACATACTTCTGCACTTCTTTCAGAGCGGCCTGGATGCTTTCAAGTTTAGTAACATCTAAGGAAAAGCAACGTCATTAAAAACGTCAGCAACCTTGAGTTTCAGAATTGCACAGGATGAATTTCCTGAAACCACAGGAAATTTGTGCAACTAACCATCTTCTGGAATAGCAGCCAGGCAGCTTCATCCCCAGCAATTGAGGGCCTGGAGAATATCAGGAATGCATGGCGTAAAAGCAAGAACTTTTTTGATCACACAAGTTGACCTAGTCGCTCTCCTCTGAACTGACTCCCACATAGAGCTAAAGTCACTTTAACTCAGATGGTCCTTACACTTTATGCCCAAGTCATGACTGTATAACCCAAACCTATTGCATAAAGTCACAACTGATTCAGTTGTGGAATTCAGTTGTGTTAAATCCATATTATGTTAAAGCGGGTAATTTTGAAAAACATCGCTCCCTTCTCAAACAGAGAGATGCAGGGAGTTACTTTAGGTCAGAAGCTCATGAATGGTGCTTTATCTGACTCCCACCTCTTGAAAGGAGGAGCAGCTTGTCTATTTTTAATTGTTTGTTTGTGTTTGTTTGTGTGTGTGTATATGTGTGTCACAAAACAATCTACCCCCACTCAACATATTGATCAATCAGCTGTCCATATCAACAATATATGAATGTGATGAATTCAACACCAAAGCTGCAGAGTCTTTCTTCAAATGGAACACCCTGGAACCACAGATACGTCCCAGAATACCTCGTTGTTCAAAACGTTCTCCGGAGAAAGCTAGTCTAACATGCGGAGGCATGTAAATTAAATTCTTTTCTCTCTGGGAAATTGACTTTCATGAACCCAACCAATGATGTTATAGCTTTGGTTAGTTCTGAGGATAACTTTGAATTTTGTTGCTCTGGACATGCCTGTCGTACCAAATTTGCCCCATTTTCACATGGCCTTAGAACTCACCTAATTGCAAGACCACTAGATTCGGATATTTGCAAGCCAGCTCTCTTAGCTCCTGAAGGAAAACAAAAAGATCATAATTTTTCTGTGCATTAAAACTCACAGACAATGAGACAGTCAGCTGGATGTCGACGAGGACAATCTCAAAAGCAAGAGCAAGCAGGAAAAGTATGCAATTCCTCCTTCATTAGACGTCATTTCAATCTCCATTCAACACAATAACTATTGTCTCCCATTGTCCTGCTAGGTGAACTGATTCTTACCTTACTTTTCTCTGCCTCCATATCCCGAGTTGTAGCAAAGACCCATTTGGGAGGAGAGGGTAGCTCCAGAAACCTCTTCACCAGACCCAGACCGATCCCCCGATTGGATCCTGTCACCAGAACGCTGAAAACGAAGAAATCAACTGGCTTTGCCATCTTCTTCAGGACTGCAGCTTCTGCTTCCAACCGGTTCAAATGTGTGTGTCAAATGGCTCTTCTCATTATGGGGAGCAACTTTATAGGGAACAGACAACACCCACCTTTAGCTCTTCCAAGGAACCTTATTTATTATCAAATTTGTTTGCTGCCAACTCCCACCACAATTAACTTTATTAAAAAAAAACGCCAGATTGCTTGCTACAGCTGAAGAATGGATGGATGGAAGGCAAGTTGCTGCTGTCTACAATTTGTCTGTGGTTTACTTGCATCCCCAACTATAATATACTGTACTTTATAGGACAAGCCTATCCCTGAATTCATCACTGGAAAAAAGTGTAGATAAGCATGCCTTGCTTTACATGTCATTTTATTTATTTATTTTATTTTATTTTTAAAATTTATAAGCCGCCCCATTCCCGAAGGACTCTGGGCGGCTAACAATAAAAAACACATAAAACATAACAAAACAACAGTACAAAGACAATCATCCAGGCCTGCCGGAAAAGCCAGGTCTTAAGTAGCTTACGGAAGACCAACAAGGTGGGAGCGGTCCTGATCTCCGGGGGGAGCTGATTCCAAAGCGTGGGCACCATCACAGAGAAGACCCTCCTCCGCGGCCCCGCCAAATGGCACTGCTTGGCCGACGGGGCCTGAAGGAGGCCAAGCCTGTGGGATCTAACCGGACGTAGGGAACTATGAGGTAGTAGGCGGTCTCGCAAATAGCCTGGCCCTGAGCCATATAGGGCTTTAAAGGTAATGACCAACACCTTGAATTGAACCCGGAGACCAATAGGCAACCAGTACAGCTCACGGAGGATAGGTGTAACATGGGTGTATCAAGGAGCACCCACTATCACTCGCGCGGCTGCATTCTGGACCAACTGTAGTCTCCGAATACTTTTCAAGGGTAGCCCCATGTCATTCTTCATGTTAAAGTCTATCTGAACCTAGACATGGCACATCCACTCTTTTCATAGCCTTACCCTCTTCCACTGGAAAGTGCCACCAAGAAACTGAATTTCTCCCAGTCTACCCACCCTGGAAAGAGTAGCAGCTCATTGCTTACACGGCCTTCATCACTTCAGGTATCTAGGTGGATTTGCCTCATGAGATCTACAATGATGGAGAAATACTGAATCACCCGCCATGGAAGAATGGATTGTGAAAATGGCAGGAATAGCACCGCTGACCTATTTGGACAGGGACAAAACAAGAAGTACTTTTATAAAAGACTGGAATCCTTATAGACTTCTGAAAATGAAAAAAATATGAAATGATGACTTTGGGATTTCTGCAATTCCAGCTGAAAAAGGGTCGAATAAGAGAGATATGTGAGTAAGTGAGATAATAAATGTATGTGTTTTATACACCTTTGAAGTCAATATTCCCAACCTTCCCAATATAAGTCATTAAAAAAAAAACCCTCCGAAAGCAAGAGAAAAACAAAACCAAGATTTTCATAACATTCAGTGATTTATTGGGGGGCTTCATTGACTCTCCTTCTATTATGAGCTGATAATGTTAAGGTCAGACCGATGGATCACCATGGAAGTCGATGGTCCAACCAATCCAAAAAGGTCCCATTATCCTCTTCACAAAGGTAGGACAGCACAGTAACAATGCATTGGGTGCACTCTTCCACGGTGATTTCCGGCTGCCACAAAAAAGGACCTCGTAAGGTTTAGAGACTCGGTCCTGGCCAACCCAGAACTCTCACCTAAGCAGATCAGCAGAAGTCAGCTGGACCTCATGACTATAAATGTTTAATAGAGATGGATTTGCATTAAACAGGCCAATCTCATTTTGGCTTATTAAAAGCCAGCCCATGTGATGGGTGATGATGCAAAGCATCATAAAAATCCCTAAATTTGGGTTAATTAAATTAGGTTAACCATGGATGAGCAGGTTAAGTTGCAAGTATAGGTACTGAGTCAACAAAACAACTTCTCATATTTGCAAAGTGGAACTCTGATGGTTTGCTCTGGTATAAATTGTAATTTCCAGAATAAATGGGTGAATGCTGCTTTGAATCTCACAAATGAGATGGACCAGGTCCTTGTCATTTCAGACATAAGCATTTGCTTTCCTGCAGATATAGTACGCTGCAAATAGGGAGATTAAACCAGTAGCTCAAATTGGAAGAGATTCAAAAAGGTGAAAGCAAGATTTAGTATATTTCCTTTTAAGGACAAACGGAGTTAAACTTTTTTTAGGGGAAGGAGATATTTGTCATATCTACTTTTACACTAGCACATTATTTTATCAAACAAAATACTAAGAACCCAAATAATCAGAATACTAAAATTTTAGGGACTCATCATTAGGTCATTTATATAGCTTTACAAGTGTATTATGTTGATTCACAGATATCTCAATACATATGAATGTGTTGTATCTTTTCCTATGTCATGAAAGGTCCTTGGTGCTCTCGGAGCTTGGTTGTTTCATTACCCAAACTAGTTAACATCATCAATGCCAAGTAAGATCATCATTAATTTCCCAACTCAAAAAACTTACAATTAGGTTGCGAGGAGTGTTAACTGAACCAGGATGGATGGTGACATTCATAATCCCATTTGCTGAATACTCAAGAGACTGGCACTTGGTGAGCATGTTTAGAGCAGCCTGCATGAGTGAAAAAAAAAAAAAGAAGAACCATGAGGGGAAAATGCAATAAATTAAAGAGAAAAAGGAAGAAAAACATAAAGATAAATAGCGCTGCAGAGAGATTCTATCAGTTTATTGAGTCTCGGAACAGTTTGGAGTTCAGCTCTGGGAGTTGAAGTCCACATATTTGAAAGATGCTAATTTTGAAAAATATTGCTATGTATAGTCTCCTCTCTTCTCCAAGCAGAGATGCAGATGTTACCTTATCTCAGATTCCCATAAATGGAGCTTTATATGACTATTCCACTCTTTTGTAACAGCAAAAACAATCTATTCCAACTCAAAGAAACCACAGTGAACTCAACCACAACCAACCGCAATTAAATTTATTGATGAACCATCTGATCATATCAACCATATACGTATGTGATGAATTCAACACCACAATTGCAGAGTCTTTCTTCAAATGGAACGCTCTGGAACCACCAATACTTACCGAGATATCAAGTTGTTCAAAACCTTCTCTGGAGAAAGCTGTTCTAACATGTGGAGGCATGTATGTTAAATTCGTTTCTCTCTGGGAAGCTAATTTACCTGAACCCAACGAATAATGTGACATCCTTGGTTAGTTCCAAGAATAACTGTGAATTGGGTTTTTTTTTCTAGGTATTTCTATAATACCAAATTTACCCCATCTTCACATGGCCTTGAAACTTACCTAACTGCAAGACCATTAGATTCGGATATTTGCAAGCCAGCTCTCTTAGCTCCTGGAGGGGAAAAAAAAGATAATAATTTTTCTGTGCGTTAAAACTCACAGACAATTAGACAGTCAGCTGTATGTGGAAGAGGATGATCTCAAAAGCAAGAGCAAGCAGGAAAAGTATGCAATTCCTCCTTCATTAGATGTGCAATATCTCTGACTGAACGAAACTTAAGAAACCACATTAAGGCTTAAGGCAAGATGAGATAACACTCCATTCAACTTAACCCAGCTAGATATTGCTTCCTCCAAACTTTCTACACTCTTGTGCTGATTCAAAGCTTGTTAAGTGGAAACCTTTACTTATGCAGACAGTCTGTCCAGCAAGTGCCATTGCTGAAGACTAAGGGAGCTAATTAGTGGAGGAAGCCCTTTTGTTAATTGTTTGGGTTCCATACAAGTATAAATCTTGGTGAATGGCTTAGCACCAGAGTCCTCACCTCTCTGGAAATATTGGTCACATCTGGAATTCTGCAATCTTATCTTGCAGAATCTGATCAATTAGAACCAAAACACCCCTTCAGTGGGAAGTAAATTGATTTACTCACATTTAGCTTTCTAGGAATACAGTACAAGTAGCAGAGTATTTATGGGATGGAGGTAAAGGGGGCATGCAAGGATAAAAAAAAAACCTAAAGAGGTGTCATGAGTTTTATTGATGTGAATTAGATTTAATTATATCTTCTACTCACTGTCTCTCTTCCCAAGCTCAATTCCACATACCATTCTATACAACCCTTTTCATGTGGTGAAAATAAGATACTTTTTGCATGGCAGATATCTAATATGCAGATCTTCTTCCTCTCTTTCAAGGTCAGCCCTACATACCATTACACAACTTGACTTTGCTTGAAACATTGAGAAGGGACAAGGGAAGCTCCAGAGGCTGACAGCAGCATCCTTCTGGGATGGGCTCAATAGTGATAACTAAAGTGCCGATTCCCTTTCCATAACTTGACCTTGAATGAACAGAGCAAGGTTCACCTCCCACTGCTCATTCTGATTCATCCAGTTGATTACCAGTTTGGTAGGAACATGAATGTTGAGCAGGGAAAGGAAAGGGTCAGTAGATAAGTAGAAGTCCCATTATCCATTGGGATTTTCTAAACCAGCAGCAAATGGAAGGGAGGCCTTGAAAGTTGAAAATCTTGAAACATGGGAGTCTACTCACTCTCTTAGTAATGGTTAGTAGATTCCTAGTCAGGGATTTGAGCTGGATCCAGTTAAAGAGAGGGATCTAGGAATCCTAGTAGACAATCACTTAAGTATGAGCCAGCAGTGTGGTGCAGCTGCCAAAAAAGCCAATAACAGAGGGATAGAATCAAGATCATATGGAGTGCTAATGCCACTTTATAATATCTTGGCAAGACCATACTTGGAATACTGCATCCAGTTTTGGTTGCCACAATTTAAAAGAAGATATTGAGTGCAGAGAAAAGCAACAAAGATTAGGAGGCTGGAAGCTAAAACATATGAAGAACGGTTGCAAGAATTGGTTATGTCTAGTCTAATGAAGAGAAAGACTAGGGTGATATGATAGCAGTGTTTCAATATTTGAGGGGCTGCCACAAAGAAGAAGGGATCAACCTGTTCTCCAAAGCAGCTGAAGGCAGGACAAAAACCAACGGATGGAAACTAATCAAGAAGAGAAGCAACTTAGAAATAAAGAGAAATTTCCTGACAGTGAGAACAATTAAACAGTGGAGCAAAAGTTGCCTTCAGAAGTTGTGGGTGCTTAAAAACTAGAGGTTTTCAAGAAGAGATTGGACAGCCATTTGTCTGAAATTTACAGGGTCTCCTGCTTGAGCTGGGGGGGGGGGTTAGAAAGAGGAAGTTTGACAAATGTTTTTTGGGGGGGAATATGGCAAATATTTTGGGGGGGGGAATATAGGCTATTAGCTAACAATATCATCTCCCCTTTTCTCTCCCTCTCTTTCTCTCTTCTCTTTCTATCTTCTTTTTGAGTCAGATATTGTGTGGCTGTACAAGGAGTTGTTTGGGTAGGTGTGTTGAAAAAATACGCTCTTAAAAAAATAGTTGAAACGGATAAACCATGCTCCTGGCTTGAGATATGGGGTTATCTTCATTTCACACATTGACATTGCATAGGTGACCCTAAATATCTATTCTGTAATACTTGTAGAGTCAAGCTGGCTAACTTCCCAAGGCAAAACAGTTGTTATTGGTCCTACATAGTACCACTGCTTTTTTCTTGACAAAATGTTTTTAATAATACACGCAGATGCTTGAGATCTTGTCAAGGAAAGAAAACAACAGGATCGGGACTTTCTTGACATTTAGTGGTTTATTGAGTCGCCATCGCCTCTCAGCACCTTATGTGCCAATGACATCAGGGTGAGACCTGTGGATCACCAGGGAACTCGACGACCCAACCAATCCAGAAAGGTCCCGTTGTCCTCCTCGGAAAGCATGGACAGCACAGTCACAATGCCTTGTGTGCTCTCTTCCACAGTGATTTCCGGCTGCCACAAAGAAGGATCTCATCAGGTTTAACGAATCAGTCCCACCCAGCCCAGATTCTCCACTTCTAAACAGCCACATTATTCACAACTGCAATTATTTGCTTAACAATTGTGACCCAAAAACAAAAAGCAAAACCAACCCATGATAAAGTCAGGTGCATCTCACTTAACAGCTGCTTTGTTCAGCTCTGTAAATTGTCCGAATTGTACATTGAGGATTATCTGTACGTTTGAATTATTTGAATAAATTAAGTGAACGATGGGTGAGCAGTCCTTGCAAATGCAGATACGGAGTCAGTGAAGTTCCTTCTAATATTTGTAAACAGCAATTCTTGTGAGTTGTTTAACATCAGCATCTTCCCCCACCACCACCTTTCTCCACTATCATTCCAGAGCAAAATGGTCAACCGTCCCCTGAGTCTTAAATATAGATAGTCCTCGACTTACCACAGTTCATTTAGTGACTGTTCAGAGTTATAACAGCACTAAAAAAGTGACTTATAATCTTTTTTACACTTATGACCGTCGTGGCATCCCCATAGTCACATGATCAACATTCAGATGCTTTGCTCAAACAGGGAAAGATTCCCAGAGTAGATTTTCTTCTAAGAGGAAATTGAAATGAAGTTTTTTAAGGGCACATTGTTCTGTTTGTCCTGTTACAATTTCCATTCTTCATTCTCTTCACACCTAATCCTTTAAGTCCATGTATAGCAGTGGTTCTCAACCTGTGGTCTGCGGACCCCTGAGGGGGGGCACGATGTCATCACAGGGAGTCTGCAAAGGCTTGAGGAAATAGGATCTTGGGGGCCCAGGGGACAATCACTTAAATAGGAGCCAGCCGTTGTGTTGCAGCTGCCAAAATAGGCCAACACGGTGCTAGGCTGCATTAACCGAGGGATAGAATCAAGATCACGTGAAGTATTAATACCACTTTACAATGCCTTGATAAGACATTGAGACTCTAGAAAGAGTACAGAGAAGAGCAACAAAGATGATTAGGGGACTGGAAGCTAAAACATATAAGGAATGGTTGCTGGAATTGGGTATGTCTAGTTTAATAAAAAGAAGGACGTGGGGTGACACGATAGCAGTGTTCCAATATCTCAGGAGCTGCCACAAAGAAGAGGGAGTCAAGCTATTTTCCAAGGCGCCTGAAGGCAGGACAAGAAGCAACGGGTGGAAATTAACCAAAGAGAGAAGCAACCTAGAACTAAGGAGAAACTTCCTGTTAGAACAATTAACCAATGGAACAACCTGCCTCCAGAAGCGGTGAATGCTCCAAAACTGGAAATCTTTAAAAAGAGACTGGACAGCCGTTTATCTGAAATGGTATAGGGTTTCCTGTCGGAGTAGAAGGTTGGACTAGATGACCTCCAAGGTCCCTTCCTTTATTATTATTATTATTAAGGGGAATCTGCACTTTAGTTATCATATGAACCCATCTCAAAAGGATGCTACTGTCAGCTTCTGGGGCTTCCCTTGCCCCTTCTAAATGTTTCAAGCAAAGTTAAGTTGTGTTATTATTGTTGTTCCTTTGTTATTGTTATTATTGCTGGTTTTGTTATTGTTGTTGTTATTATTATTATTATTATTATTATTATTATTATTATATGTTATGATTTAGATTGAGTAAAGTCTTGGGGGTCCCTGGCCATGGTCTCTGGCCACAAAATGTATTTAAAGGGAGTCCTGGTGAAGAAAAGGTTGAGAACCACTGATCTATAGCATAACTTTTATAGAAATATTGAGTATATCTCTTTTTGCACTGCATATTAAATTAAACACAAAAACATTTTTAGCCGATTTATATGTCTTGGAGAGTGTGTACAAGATACCTGAAACCTCTTCCCACATCAACAAACTTACAAATGAGTTGCGAGCAGTTTTAACTGAGCCAGGATGGATGGCGACACTCATAATCCCCTCGGCCGGATACGCAAGAGACTGGCACTTGGTGAGCATGTTTAAGGCAGCCTGCATGGATGAAAAGAAGAGCTGTGAAATAAGAATGCACTGAAGAGAAAAAGGAAAGGTGAAGAACACAGGGTGTTGCATATTAACCGTTATTTGGGGCTAGAAAAGGTTGGGGAGACCCACTAGAATTGGACTACTGAACAGCTCCTTGAGAATACAAAAGGGGAGGAAAACAGCCACACGCATCGTTCTGGCTAGCCAAGAAATCTGTATGTGAGTTATTCTGCAATCTCAGGCAAGTGAAAATGTCTCAGGGTCCGTTTGGACTGCCAGAACAATTTTCCTTCAAATAGTTGGGTTTTTGTTGTTATTTTGTTTTGCTTTGTGCAAAGGAGGAATATTTTCTTGGATTAGCATGTATCCCTCCCAATCTGACTGCAGGTAGTCCCCTACCTAGGACCACAGTTGAGCCCGTTTTTGAGGCAGTTGTTAAGTGAGTGCTGTGGTTGTTAGACAAACGCCCTGGCGGTTAAACAAATCCAGTTTAACCAATGGGATTTTTTGCTGAAGTGGCAGAAAACAGCCAATCACAGCCACGATACCACAGGATGTTGCCAATGGCTGTAAAGGTGAACTGGTTGCCTAGCGCCCAAAATACAATCGTTCATTCTGAATTCTGAATTTTTGAAATCGGGTCATAAGTAGCTTTAGGACAGGGGTAGGCAACCTTGGCTCTTTTATGACTTGTGGACTTCAAGTCCCAGAATTCCTGAGCCAGCCATGCTGAGGGGAAAGGGAGAGGTTTCCAAGCTGAGCCAGGCTGGCTCAGGAATTCTGGGAGTTGAAGTCCACGAGTCATAAAATAGCCCAGGTTGCCTACCCCTGCTTTAGGGGAATGGATCTATCAAAACCCATTAAGCAACCAGTCAGAGGTTGAAGATTATCTCAAGTAGCTGCAGGCAGGTCCACATAGGAAACTCATCTGGTACCTTACTGCAACGATATGCAATTATCTTCACATTGTTCAGATAACCAGCCATGTTCTCAACTGATCCCGCAATGCTGGACATGTTAATAACAGCTGCCTTGATGCTGCTCAGCCCTTGGCATGGATTTCTCCGGGCTGCCATCTTCAGAAGGGGCAGAAATGCCTTGTAGAAAGAAGAAAAGAAAGGAGGCGTTATGCTTAAGTCTAGAAAAAGAACTGTACAATGACAGGCAAAGGTCTTATATCCTCTTCTGCAAGGGGACCTTCACAGAGTCATCTAGACCTGACCTCACCCAGGAGAACTGCTCTAAAGCTGTTTGGTGGGCTGCCCTTAAAGGGGACTCCACACCTCCAGAGCCTGATGCAGAGCCTGGATGACGAACAAAATAATAATAATAGTAGTAATAGTAGTAATAGTAAGTAGAAGAAGAAGAAGAAGAAGAAGAAGAAGAAGAAGAAGAAGAAGAAGAAGAAGAAGAAGAAGAAGAAGAAGAAGAAGAAGAAGAAGAAGAAGAAGAAGAAGAAGAAGAAGAAAGAAGAAGAAGAAGAAGAAGAAGAAGAAGAAGAAGAAGAAGAAGAAGAAGAAGAAGAAGAAGAAGAAGAAGAAGAAGAAGAAGAAGAAGAAGAAGAAGAAGAAGAGTCCATAAGTCATAAAAGGGCCATGTTTGAAGACCCCATTTTATGCAATTTATTTATTTATGAGACTTATGTACCGCTTTAAGTGCAAGCACTCTCTAAGCGGTGTACACCAGTAAGCAATGTATATATATATTTACATTGTCCCCAACAATCTGGGTCCTCATTTTACCTACCCCGGAAGGATGGAAGGCTGAGTCAACCCTGAGCCGGTGAGATTTGAACCGCTGACCTGCTGAACACATTCAGCTAAAGTGGCCTGCAGTACTGCACTCTAACTGCTGCGTCACCTCGGCTCATAATAATAATAATCCAAAGTATGGCTGAGATTCAGATATGCGTCTTCTCTAGTACTCAGTAACTGCCTTTCTATCTTCCCTCAGCCTGGTGAAAGATGGAGAAATAATTCTGAAAAGACTTTGGATCAAGAAATGGTGTCTTGAGGTGTTGGATGGCCTTCTTCGAACATAAAGACATTGCCCCCATTAAAATCATCTCACTCCAAATCTCCGGGTCTTCTCTGGAATCCTGAATCAGCCATTGTCTATTTTGTAGGGTTGAGGCACCTCAGGTGACATTCCAAGAGGTCATTGATACTCTCGTACAGATTCTGTCCAACCGTTGTTAAACTCTGAGAAAAGGTGGTGAGATTCTGACCACAAAGTGCTTCCCAAAAGGGTTACAGCAGTCTGGGAGGTATTGCCTTGTCCCAACCTTCCCTAAAAGGGAACAGTTACCCCTAATGTTCCAACCTGCTCCCAAATCAGTGTATAATTTCTACTTCTTTGTTTTCACCACTACAATATTTCTTTGCATTCTAGCTATAGTGGATTCAACTGTTCAATCTTCGACAAAGCAATCTTCCTTGCTTCGTTTCCTCATAAACAAACCTGACTCATTTGCAAGGGGCCAATTGTATTGACAGAGTAAACTCTCATCATATCCTGGGCATTTTCTGTTTCCAGATTGTTGAAGGACGAAGTGGCAGCATTATTGATTAGGATGGTCAGGCCGCCTTCTCCAACAGATTTTTCCACTTCTTTAAGAGCTGCCTGGATGCTTTCAAGATTAGTAACATCTATGGAAAAGCAATGTTATTGAAACGTCAGCAACACAGTCTTTCAGAATTGCAAGAGAAGACTTTCCTGAAACCACAGAAGATTTATGTGTCTATTCATGCAATTAACCACCTTCTGGAATAGCAGAATAGAGAATACCATTTCCTAGTTTTTAACTTGGGGGGGGGGGTCACAGAGTGTAAAACTGAAACTCAAATGAAACCGCAGTAGATCCCATCATCACCACTATCAAGAACAATGAAGTTTATTGATTAGTTATCCAATCATATATAAAAAAACTGTAAAACCAATACAGAGGAAACAGTAGAACATATTCACCCTCACAGTCCACCCCAATCTGTTCCATATAATGTAGTCTATTTTCTTCAAAATGGGCTTTGGTATAAAGATTGCAGTCTTGCTACTGATAGGCAGATGCATTTCCTCCAAGAAGTAAGACGTAAGGGTGTCTCAATGTTTTTTTAAAATAAGGATCTATGTGAACAGTTCTTTTTGCAGAATATAATTCCCAATCAAAGAGAAATATCTTCAGCAGCTGTTTATTAAAAGCACATGGTCTTTCTTCAAATGGGTCTCCTTAGAACAGTGATTCTCAACCTTTCTAATGCCGCGACCCCATAATACAGTTCCCCATGTTGTGGTGACCCCCAACCACTTATACATCACCGGGTGCCAGGGGCGTGGCCAATGAAAAGGGGGGGGGCAAATGGCGGACAGCCTTGTTTGGCGACCCCCTGAAATGGTCGTTCGACCCCAAATGGGGTCCCGACCCACAGGTTGAGAACCACTGCCTTAGAAACTCCCATATCTTACCACGGAATCTACTTGTTCAGTTTGTGCTCCAGAGAAAGCTTGTCTAACAGCTAAGTTAAATTATTCTCTTTCTGGGAAGAGGTTTATACTGAGTCAGCCAGTTCAAGTGAATAGAACCAGTGATATTACAGGTTTTCTTAGTTCCAAGACTGACTTTGAACTGCATTCTTATAGTACAAAATTTGTCCTTGAAACGTACCTAATTGCAACACCATTAGATTTGGATGTTTGCAAGCTAACTCCCTCACTTCCTGGAAAAAAAGAAGAACACAGAAGATTATACTTACAATATATGGATATCTTGTAAAATAGTGGTCAGCATTAATCTGGCCAATTAGGGTCAAAGCAATTCATTATTAGGAAACAAATTAATCGACTTACATTTTGTTTTGTTGAAATACACCGCATGAAGCAGAGTATTGATGGGGTGGAAATGAGGGTGGCTTGCAAGGATACAAAATCAGAGAGGTGTCACGAATCACATTCATGTGAATTAGATTTTAATTAGATTTTTAACTGTCTCGCCTTATGCATTATGCCTTAATTTTACTTTCTATTTGCTCTGTTGATTAGACTTCTCTGTTTAAATGGCATTACTTTTTTTTTTTTGCTAAACATAAGAAAAAAGAATGTTATGCTGAAGAAAAAACTAATACAGCGACCATGGTGTTAAAAAGAAGTTAATACATAATAAAATTAAGAAATGAATAGAATTTAAGGAAATTAAATGTCTTCTATTAGTGAACAAAATTTAAGGAAACGGAAAAGAAGAAAAAGTGAACTGTGTACTATTTAAATAGAATGAAATCTGTGTTTTGCTTAGCATTCCTTGCTGCGAAGGGGCAAATTATAATTAGTGCATATAAGTATGTGGGTCACAGTATTCCTGGGATGCTCAAAATGCAAGCTTGACATTCAGCCTCAGTTCAATATTTTAACCACTATTTACCACTTCATCCTCTGTTAACTGATTCTTACCTTGGTTTCTTCTCCCTCCAGGTCAAGGGTTGTAGCAAAGACCCATTCGGGTGGACAGGGCAGCTCCAGAAACCTCTTCACCAGACCCAGGCCGATCCCCCGATCGGATCCCGTCACCAGAACACTGAAAACAGAGAAGTCATCTGCCTTTGCCATCTCTTTAGGACCTGCAGCTTCTTCTTCTAACCTGCTCAGATATTTGTTTCAAATGCCTCTTCTCGTTGTGGGAGGAAACATTATAAGGAACAGGCCACACCCATCTTCTGAGAAAGTTTTATTTATTCATTATTAAATTTGTTTGCTGCCAACTCTCAGTGACTCTGGCTGGCTCACCACATTTAACTTAGTCATTACAGAAAACAGCCCTGCTTACTATAACTGAAGGAACGTTGAGGAAGACGAGCTACAACCCAGCAAAATTTGTATATGATTTACTTGCATCTTCTGCTGCAATATGGTTTGATGAGACACTCCTATTCCTGAATTCATCACTGGAAAAAGGATGGGTAAAGAATCTGTTAACTGATTCTTACCTTGGTTTCTTCTCCCTTCAGGTCAAGGGTTGTAGCAAAGACCCATTTGGGAGGACAGGGCAGCTCCAGAAACCTCTTCACCAGACTCAGACTGATCCCCCGATCAGATCCCGTCACCAGAATGCTGAAAACAGAGAAATCAGTTGCCTATGCCGTCTCTTCAGGACCTGCAACTTCGGCTTCCAACATGTTTGAAGGTTTAGTTCAAATGTGTTTCCTCATCAGAGGCAACAATATTATGAGAAAGATGCCACACCCATGAGTATATCTTCTCATAAGCTTCATTTAAATATTGTAGAAGGAAACCTTGCTTGCTTGGAGTGAGGGTGTAGTGCTATAAGGGATGATGGATGGTTGCGAGATATACCATCCTACAAAATATTTGGAAATACTTTCAAATCACGGGAGAGAGCTTGTCCGAGATGAAATAAGTTTTGATTTTGGCTGCTAAGGAAACATACAAAACCAGAACTAAATGTGAGAATTGAGACTGATGGTGATCACCAGCCTGAATACCATTAATCATAAAATAGAAAAGATGGGATCAAGTCATCAGAAAGAGGAAGTTTTGTCTACAAAGAGATTTGAGGAATCGGTCACCTCCCTTTCATCTAACAGGCCATTCGCTAACAACGTCTCCCAATTTTCCTCCTCCCTCTCTCTCTTACTATCTTTATTTTTAGTATGATACTGTATGCCTATACAAGGAGTCATTTATGTCTGGGAGTGCATGTTGAAAGGATATGAAATGAATGGACCATGCTTCTCACCTGAGATATAGGATCCTCTGCATTTCATGCACTGACATTGCACATGTAATCCTAAATACGTATTTTGTAACATTTGTGGAGTCAGTTTTCCCAACTTCCAAATCTAAAATAGTCTTCATTGGTCCTACATAGAACATAGAAGAATAGAGTTGGAAGGGACCTTGGAGGTCTTCTAACCCAACATCCTGCTCGGGCAGGAGACCCTAGATCAGCGGTTCTCAACCTGTGGGTGGGGACCCCATTTGGGGTCGAACGACCATTTCACGGGGGTCGCCAAACAATGCAGTCTGCCATTTTCCCCCCCTTTTCCTTAGATGTGCTCCTCCCTTTTATTCTATTGGCTTTTGAAAGCCAATAGAATAGACTCTCTTGAATAGAGTCTAATTCTGTTGGCTTTCAAAAGCCAATAGGAATTGTCCAGGCTGTCTCTGCCCTGCTGAGCCCGCCAAAAGTCCCATTCTGCAAAGGGTGCTGCAAGTTGTCTGCAGCGAAGGCGAGCTGTCTGGAAGTTTCCACCCCTCCTTGTTGAGCAACTACTAAAAATGTAAGTAAAAGAGGGCCAGGGGTGGGAGGTGGGAGGCCAGTGGGTGCAAGGAGGGTTGCTGGCGCACGTGGGGCCCGGCGGGTGCCTTACTTCCCTTGGGCTGGGCCAGCTGGTGGCCCAGCCGGTGGTCGGCCTGCTCCGTCTCTGCCACTTGCCAGCTATGTCTCGGCCAGCGCAGGGGTGGCACCACACATGTGCGGCGCTCCAGGACAGGGAAAGTCCTCAACTTATGACCAGCTGGGTAGTCCTTGACTTACAACTGGTTGGGTAGTCCTTGACTTACGATCGGTTGGGGGTTGCGGCATTAAAAAGGTTGAGAACCACTGCCCTAGATCATCTCAGACAAATGGTTGCCCAGTATATTTTTGAAAGCCTTCAGTGATGGAGCACACACAACTTCTGAAGGCAAGCGGTTCCATTGGTGAGTTACTCTCGCTATTAAGAAATTAGTTCTAGGTTGCTTCTCTCCTTGATTAGTTTCCAACCATTGTTTCCTGTCTTGCCTTTTGGTGCTTTGGAAAATAATTTGACTCCATTGCCTTTGCGGGAGTCCCTCAGATATTGGAACAGTGCTATCATATCCCCCTTAGTCCTTCTTTTCATTAGAGTAGACATGCCCAATTCCTGTAACCATTCTTTGTACTTTTTAGCCTCTAGCCCCCCCAATCATTTTTGTTGCTCTTCTCGGCACTCTTTCCAGAGTCTCAAAATCTTTGTTTATATTGTGGTGACCAGAACTGGATGTAGTATTCCAAGTGTGGCCTTACTAAAGCTTTGTAAAATGGTACTAGAACTTCACATGATCTTGATTCTATCCCTCTATTAATTGGTTTTTTTAGGTTGGCTCATATTTAAGTGATTGTCCACAAAGACTCCAAGATCTCCCTCATAGTTACTGGCATTAAGCCAAGTTTCACCTAGTCTATATCTATATCTATTGGTTTTTGTTTTTTACTTAAGTGCAAAACCTTACTTTTATCTACGTTGAATTTCATTTTGTTAGGCGCTCTTACTTGTTACTTTACAAAATGTTTTTAATAATACAGTGGTACCTTGGTACTCAACTCAATCGAATTTGGTACCCAACACAAAAATGTTGTCCCGGTAATCATAGTTTGTTTGGTACTCAACGCACAAGTTAGAACTTGTCTGTGACATCTGTCATGTGACGCACTACATTATTCCTTATTGGAAAAAATGGTTTGATACACATCATTTTTGGTAGTCATTGTATCTCCCAGAACCAATTAACAATGAGTACTGAGGTACCTCTGTATATGCAGATGTTTGAAATTTTGTGAAAGAAAGGAAAGAACAAGACCAGGACTTCTGTGACAGAAAGCAGTTTATTGAAGGGCCCTTTCACCTCTCAATGTGTTATGAACCAATGACATTAGGATGAGACCTATGGATCACCAGGGAAGACGACGACCCAACCAATCCTTAAAGGTCCCATTGTCCTCCTCAGAAAGCATGGACAGCACACTCACGATGCCTCGTGTGCTCTCTTCCACAGTGATTTCCGGCTGCCACAAAGAAGGATCTCATAAGATTTTTTAAAAATCATCCAGCCCAGAATCCTCACTTAAGCAGAACAACAGAATCCAGTTGGACTTCTTGTTCAACTCTAATATAATGATTTGTATTAAACTGGTCAATCAAATGTGATTTATTACCTTCACCAAGATATTTGAGTGTAGCCTCTGTGATCAAGTAATGAACCAATGAATTCCATAAATCCTTAAATTTGGGTTAATTGAATAAATTAAATGAAACTAGGGCAAGCATACGGTACTTTGCAAGCCAAAAGATTTGTTTTTAATATTTTAAAGCAGAACTCTTATGATTTGTGTCACCACAGGAAAGTTCTCCACCTCATGCCATGATGTTTTCCAAAACAGACTTTTTCAAGTTAGCAAATTATCTTTTCCCAATTTTCAATAGACCATCTCTTAGAAACCTGTCACACAGCAGAACGTGTGAAACTTGCCTTAGATATTAAGCAGAAATGGGAAGAACTGGATTTTTTTTTCTTCACTATACTTTTGTTTTTCTTTCTTTTTCTCTTTTCTTTCTGTTTTTTGCACCTATTTTTCATTTTTTTTAGTGTGTAGGATGTCAACGCTGCTAACATAGGATGTTCTTGCTTTGACAACATATGGAGATGCAGTCATCTTCCTTCTTATGTTTTACTCTTGGAATTAGTGTTAGATGATACTGGGGGGGGGGGGAGGAGGAATGTGCATGGGAGTTTAGTTAGACATAACAATATTGAAACTAGGGTGAGAACCAAGATTTTTTGAAATAAGAGATGATAAGAAATGGGGATTAAAGAACTGGAGGGAAAGCCAGCATTTCAAACTAATTGGAGAATGTGATTTATGACTAATTAGTGGGGGGAATTGTGCTTTGATACTATGTGCTCAGGGGAGGGGAATTCAGATTTTGGCTTTGCCTATGTACTGCTGATGCTATGCTACTCGAATAAAAATTCTTTAAAGTAAACAATGCCTCAAAGTTCTTTGAAGAGTTTCATCTCTTGGAACCATGACATTAAGCCAAATTATTATTTTTGCATTTGTAATAATTCATAAAAATTACTGCAGGGCATATAGTTTAAATTATTCACCCAGAGTATATGCACATAGACCAGGATCCACAGATAAATGCATTATTTCTTTTCCCAGATTGAAAGACTTACATAGGGGTTGTGACGAGTATTTACCAGACCAGGATGGATGGCTACCGTCAGAATCCCACTGGCTGAATACTCGAGTGACTGGCACTTGGTGAGCATGTTTAAAGCAGCCTGCATAAGAAAAAAGAAGAAAAAAAAGAACTGTAAGGAAAAGGCATGCTTTGGAATAGGAAATGGAGATGAAAGTAAAGACAAATCACTGAATGATAGGATATTGGGCAACTCTCTTATCCTCCTCATCCAGGGCAGGAAAGGAGGAGGCAACACACCGCAACTGGACTATTAAACAATTCTGTTATCACACAAAGGAGGAGAGGGAAGAAGAAAGCCAACCATATGCATGGTTCTGGCCAGAAAAGATATATATATATATCATGAGCCGAAGTGGCGCAGTGGTAAGAATGCAGTACTGCAGGCTACTTCTGCTGACTGCTGGCTGCCTGCAGTTTGGCAGTTCGATCCTGACCGGCTCAAGGTTGACTCAGCCTTCCATCCTTCTGAATTCAGTAAAATGAGGAGCCAGATTGTTGGAGGCAAAGATGCTGAGTCTGTGAACCGTTTAGAGAAGACTGTCAAGCACTGGGAAGCTGAATATAAATCTTATTGCTATTGCTATATTATATTGAGTGGCACAATGGCCTAGTGGTGAAGATGCTTGCGTCCCACTCAAAAGGTTGAGAATTGAATCCTATGGTAGTGGCAGATGTTTCTCTCCTATGTGCTGTGAACTCATGTGCTGTCAAGAAAGGCATCCGGCCCATCAATGCTCAGCTCCATTCATTGGCCCCAGTCTCTACCCCAAATTAAGGGAGTATAGAGTCATAAGAAGAGAGCTTATTGATTATATTGTATTATATTGTCTAAGAACAGGCACCTAGGTGATCATGGGTTAGTTGGGCATCTCTATAGTTCAGTGGTTCTCAACCTTTTTAATGCCGCGACCCCCAACCAATCGTAAGTCGAAGACTACTCAACTGGTGCAGCACCATTTGCAGAATGGGACTTTTGGCGGGCTCAGCAGGCCAGAGACAGCCTGGACAATTCCCATTGGCTTTTGAAAGTCAATAGAATTAGACTCTATTCAAGAGAGTCTATTCTACTGGCTTTCAAAAGCCAATAGAATAAAAGGGAGGAGCACAGCTAAGGAAAAGGGGAGAAAAATGGCAGACAGCGTTGTTTGGCGACCCCCGTGAAATAGTCGTTCGACCCCAAATGGGGTCCCGACTCACAGGTTGAGAACCACTGTATAGTTGAATGATGAGTACCAGAAGGCTGGTTCCTGCACCTTCAGTCCCAACCAAGTTCATCCAATTCCCCTATATTGGATTTTCTAGATTGTTGATAGTGCCTGCATGTGAGATCATGTTTTTTGCAAACTACTTCAAGAGTAACGATCAGGAGCTTCATCAAAGCCTGTTGAACAATTTCTTTGGGTTGTTAAAACAAAGCCATCTAAAATGGCTAATGTCTAAACAAAGAATTTTCTCAGCTTGGCATACTTTATATCCCAGATATTCCCACTTTTTTTTCTCACTTTTGTTTTTATAATGAATGAAAACAGTAATCATTCTGTTTTCTAGGCCATCCCTTTCTTAATTTCAGTCTTGACACTAGACGTCAATCTGTCTCTCCGTAAGTAAAATCACTTTGAAATGTGTGTGTGTGTAAGACTGTGAGAGAGTACTTGCATGGAAGAACTCTGCACTAGTTGAAAAACCTATGTAATGTGGTTTACAGAAGAAGAAAACTGAGCTGCGTTAAAATGTCCTCATTTTCTTGTGTTTCCGAACAATTCCAAATCACAGCAGTCAGTAATAAATTATTCTTTAAGGGACAAGCATGTATGGAAGGAAATCCCAACTATGTGCAGGAAAATCCACACAGAAATCACATTAGGTACCTTACTGCAGCGGTAGGAAACTATTTGTGTTTTCTCCCAAATAAGCATAACCTCCATTGAGCCAAGAGCACTGGATATATTGATAATAGCCGCCTTGCTGGAGCTCAGCCCTTGCCTTGGACTCTTCCGGGCTGCCTTCTTCAACAGGGATAGAAAGGCCTTGCAAGAGAGAAGGAGAAAAGAGAGAAGGGGCTGAAGTTGGGTCTATGAAAGCAAGCTGTGCATCATAAGCTGGAGCCAGATAGCCAAAGCAAGCGTCTTTATCAGCTTACACTGATCTCCAAGGGAATCCTCACGCAGTCGTCATACCCAGGTAGATCGCTTAAAACTTTTTATTAGGGTGCCCTCAAGATGTTTCTAAAGCCCCAATTGAAGCAAAGCATGAATTTCTGGAACATGTTCAAGTAGAAAGAGCGCAACGTGTGGACAACTTGACTTTCCTTTTACACCTCCCCCAGCAAATTCTTTGTAGGTTTTGGAATACTGAGATCCAGGAGGCTGAAATCGGACTGTGAAGTACCAGCATTTGGACACACCATTTTTTCTTTATATATCTGCTTATAGTTTTGTGTGTCTGTGTGTGTGTGTGAGAGAGAGAGAGAGAGAGAGAGAGGGGGGAGGGAGAGAGAGAAACAGAGAGAGACAGAGAGAGGAGAGAGAGACAGAGACAGAGAGAGAGACAAACACAGAGAAGAGACAGACACACACATAGAGAGAGAGGAGAGAGAGAGAGACAGAGACAAACAGAGACAGAGAGACACACACACACAGAGAGAGAGAGAGAGACAGAGACAGAGAGAGAGAAAGAGAGAGAGAGAGAGGGAGAAAGGGAGAGAGAGAAAGGGAGAGACGGAGAAGTAAAGGCAAGTACTGTTCAAACTCTTCTAGATTTAAGCTTGAAAAAAACATGTTCCTTGAGGAAGAAGAATTTTTTTCTTTCTGAAGGAAAAAACATAGTCCAGTTGCCTTTTGAAAAAGCACATTTGAGACAACCAAGAACCTGGATGGCTAAGAATCTCCATAGACTTGAAGAAGAAGAAAATTAACAATTTAGCCTCACCTTGCAGTGACATCACTTTAACACAATCCTTGTATCTGAACCAAATCAAAAGTCCTCGGGATTATTTTAGAGTTTTAGACAATATCTCCTAAGATAACTAGGGAGATAGCATCAAAAGGATGATCTTATACTATGGTGACCCCATTATGACAAACCCCTAGGAGTTCTCTGTAATTGCCTTGTTACCACATATTTCCATAACCTTCCTGACAAAGGGGTGGTGGGAAGCTGGTCAATAATAGTTAAAATTATTTGGGTCAATAAATAACCTCCCTTTACCATTATTAATATCAAGGTCACACGGGAACAGAATTAGCTATCTGGTTGGAAATCAAGCTCATTCCTGATGGAGCTTATCTTGCATTCAACTGTAACTATTTCCCCAGAGTTCAAGGGTCTGAACAATCTCAGATGACCTTGCAAAAGGTTGCCTTGATATGTCTTAAGGATTGTGTCAAGCTGTGTTTATCTCTGAAGGATTAGGGGTGACTCTAACCACAAAGGTCACAGTGGCCCAGAAGAAGTTCTTCTAAGATACCTCAAGCAGGTAGCTCAAGGATGTTTGACCTGCTTCAAAATCACTCTACAATTTCTATTCATTTTTCAGCTTTATCATTCTGCCTTATTTATACTGAGTTATTTTTTCAGCACTTTAGTTTTGGGTTAAATAATAGAGATGTCCAACCTTGGCAACTTTAAGACTTGTAGACTTCAATTCCCAGAATTCCCCAGCCAGCCATGCCAGCAGTTGAAGTCCATAAGTCTTAAAATTGCCAAAGTTGGACATCCCTTTAATATAAGTCACTTTACTCAAATATGGTTTCAAAAAAAAAAAAGAATAAACAAACCTGACTCATTTGCAGTGGCCCAATGGTGTTGACTGAATATAAAGTCTGCATATCTTTTGCATTTTCATTTTCTAGGTTTTCAAAGAACCAACGGCCAGCATTGTTGATTAGGAGTGTCAGCCCACCATCTCCAACACGCTTTTCCACTTCTTTTAAAGCTGCCTGGATGCTCTCAAGAATTGTGACATCTGAGGAATGATGAGAGCTTTTCAACACATACTGTACAAAATGCCCCTTCAAAATTGGTCATCAGATGTTTGATGAAAGTTCAGAACATCCGTACAATTAAATAGCTCCTTTGAGAGGTACCTTGACTTCCAAGCCCAAACTATTAAAAGCATTGACTTCAATAAAAGTGTGAGAATACTGGCAAATGAGTGCAAAAAGTCACCACCTGAAACAAGCAGCTGAAGATCACCAACAAAGTGGCACTCTGCTAAACATAAGACTCAAAGTAAAGCTGAAATTAAATAAGAGAGGGATTTGTTCTCCCTGGAATCAGAGACAAGCTGTGAAATAGAATGTCTTTGTGCATTGTTTTAAGGCAGTGGTTCTCAACCTGTGGGTTGGGACCCCATTTGGGGTCGAACGACCATTTCACGGGGGTCGCCAAACAAGGCTGTCCGCCATTTTTCCCCCCTTTTCTTTGGCCACACCCCTGGCACCCGGTGATGTATAAGTGGTTGGGGGTCACCACAACATGGGGAACTGTATTATGGGGTCGCGGCATTAGAAAGGTTGAGAACCACTGTTTTAAGGGATTATTTCTTTACTGTCGCCCTATGATCGTCCAGATACAGAAACCATAACATATTCTGCAAAATTAGAAACCACACAACTAGAAGTCATGCAACATAAAAGTCAAACCCAAACAAACCCACCATGAACTTTATCGGAGATCTTGCAGACTCTATTTAGTTCCAACCATGGCTTTGAGCTGGATTTCTGAGTATTTCTACAGAAGAAAAAAATGTCCCGCTTACGTTTGGCTCTTGAAACTTACCTAGTTGCAATAACACCAAGTTTGGATGTCTGCATGCCAACTGTTTTACCTCCTGGAGAAGGGGAAGAAAAAGGAGAGTTTTGTTTTTAAATCAAAAACAGGCGACAAGTTGAGTGCGGTTCCAAAGAGGGCAACATCAAAACAGACGTTGAACAAAGAAAGATACCTCAAATTATTTATTCAAAAGACTAGAAGACCACCCATTTTATGTACCAAAACTCTGGGTGTCTCACCAAAAGAGCAGTAAAAACATGAAGAGGCAATAAAAGCATCAAAAACTCCCAGTGCCCCCAAACAAACACTTTTCCATGTAGCAAGGTCTTGATGGACCAGAAGATGAGGCAGGTAGGGTCCTGATGGACCTTGGCAGAGAGTGTTCCACAGGGCAGGTGCTGCTATACCTTCCTAAATCCTACCTGGTGACATTTAAAGGGACAGACCTGGAGCACACTAACCCTACCCAAGCTGGTAGGACAGGCAAATACCTTCAGGGAGAGGCAGTTCTATAATAACTTGGTGTCAAGAGCTTTAAAGGTAATAACCAGCAACTTGAACAATAGCCAAAGTGAAACTGGAAGACGGTGCAGCTCACAGACAGCCGTGTAATACCAGAAAACTGTGAAACATCCAGATCTTCACACACCACTACACAGTGCACCAGTTGTAACATGTGGATGGCCTTCAAGGGCAGCCCCACCTACAGCATGTGGCCATAATCCAACCAGACGGTCACCAGGCGTGAAGTTGTGTATCTTTATATCACACGGATACAAACATTTACTTACGGATTAGGCAAAACAAACCACAACAAAAGCAAAAACAAAGCAAATAACATATAAATACATAAAATAAAGTTTACACCAGAACAAAGGTTGAAGCAAAAATGATTATTAAAAAAATTAGAAAGGCCAAATGAACAAGAAAAAAAAAAAGAAATAAGAAAAAAACATTTTAGGAAAAAGCATTCGGAAATTCCATTCCATTCTCCCTCTTTTTTCCCCTCCTCCAACCTCTGCTATTTAATATTTTTATGCTATGTCCTGGTGATCTGCTGCTATTTGGATCATTTAAATTATTTTATAAACAGTTTCTCTTTTTCTTCAAAAAACACCTTCTGAACTTGCTTTGCTTTACATCCCCATCGGAACATTGGAGCCCAAGAATTAGCAGATTGCCTGAACTCAGTTAGTTGTGTTTTAAAGAAAATAAACTATGGCTTATCGTGAACTGTGAAACCAACTGCTCTTCAGCTTTTCGAGTCCCATTTTCTCCCATATTTCACTTGGAAGCCCAAGCTGGTGTACAATTCTTCTCCAATAACCCTTGGGGGACATATGGGCTGAGAGATATTCAGGTAGCTGCAAATCACCTATGAGCTTCATGGCCAAGTGGGAAGGGGTGTCTAAGTCAAGGGTCTCCAACCCGTGGTCTGTGGTCCGCTAGTGGGCCATGAGGGGTTTGCAACACATATTCACTTGTGCGAGCAGCGGTACAAGTGCGAGCACGCTCCATTTAAGTGAGTGGCAGGTGCACATCCACACCACTTGCACAAATGGAGCTATGTGCACATGCTCGCCAGCTGCTCATGTGGAACTATCCCTTCCCCCCCCCCCAAATTGGTCCGTAAAGCCGGAAATGTTGGGGAATTCTGATCTAGGTCATTCCATCCTTGGTTCAACATCTTGACCATTACACCCCACCGTCCTGCTACATCAAGTGATTCTTACCTTGGTTTCTTCTCCCTCCAGGTCAAGGGTTGTAGCAAAGACCCATTTGGGTGGACAGGGCAACTCCAGAAACCTCTTCACTAGACCCAGACCAATCCCCCGATCGGATCCCGTCACCAGGACACTGAAAACACAGAAATCCATTGATTTTGCCATCTGTCCCAGAGCTGCAGTTTCTGCTTCCAACTTGCTTTGAAGATTGGCTTCAAATGCTTCTTCTCATTGCACAAGGGACAATTTATAAGGGAGAGGCACCACCTACTTTTATACCTTTTAATAAACTTCATCTGCCTACTAGGAATGCATTGTAATCTTACTTCACATAAAGACACCAATTTGGTAGGAATATGACCAGGAGGTTTGAGAAAGGGTGAGGTCTTGAAAGCAAACCTTTTTATTTAGCCTTCATTTGTGTCTATGCCTGTATTTATATTTTATTTGTGCGAGCTTCCCAGAGTCACGTATTCAAGATGTATTCTGGGAAGCTCGCACAAATAAAATAGCAAAAACAAATAGCAAAACAATTACAACAAAAACAGTGAAAAATACCCCAAACTGTTAAAATGTGTTAAGCATAAGCCATAGGAAAGCGCAATTCAAATCTTAAAAGTCATATAGCCATTGCTCAGGCTTTATAGGTCTCTAACAGGTTCAAACTCATTCCTAAAACTCATTTGGGGTTTTATAAACCATCTTTTCCCCCACATACATCTGAAATCTTGTGTTATAATGGAAGGAATGTCTAGGCAAAGAAAATAAATAAGATGTAATTTGAAAGAACACTTCGAGACAATTTTTCCAAGCAAGGCTAAACCTCAGAGTTAACAGTTTTCCTTCATGGTATTTGTATCTATCTTACTATATATATACTTTAAGCCATCCAACGCTGTCTGGAGTTGAGCAGCATCAAAATCCAAATACAAAATAAATGAAACCGATAAACAAACAGACATCTGAGGCCCAGAATTCACCAGAGGGAGACAGCCCGAGAGAACATTAGGCATTTAAAGGGAGTCACTTCCAATTTATACAACATGCATTTAGTAATTGCCCTAATTAGTTTCCACATTCAGCGCCTACCTAAACACAAAAAGCTCTGCATATTTATGTGCTACTCATAAAGAGCAAATGTAATCTGAAAAATATACACTTCTTCAAAATGTCCTAGAGCAAAACCTGAAAGGGACCTCCAAGGTCCCTTCCAATCACATTATCATCATCATCATCATCATCATCATCATCATCATCATCATCATCATTATTATTATTACCCTCAATATAATGTTTTCCTGTCCAAATAAACCAGAACTGTGCCATCAGGGTTGCAAGCAGATACTCTGATTTTCTCCCTGTTTATTGACAGGGATACTTCATCATTACCTAGATTGTTGCAACCCTGATATGATGACTTTAACATATTCTGCTAATCTTCAAAGCATGTAAATCTGGTAAGACAAGAAGACTAGCCAACCTTAAAGAATCTTTAGTAGAACATCTTGCTAGATTTTCCAGTAATAGCTTTTAGCAAATGTTTTGGGCATTTATAAGGTACAAAATTAGCCCCACTGGCAGTCAAAACTTACCTAATTGCAACACCACCAGATTTGGATGCTTGCAAGACAAGTCCCTTACTTCCTGGAAAAGAAAAAGTTTGGAATTTTTCCTCATAAACTCACAGTTATAGTCAAGAAGAAGACAATTACTTCAGTCCTCAAAGAAGACCATAGCAAAAGAAAACCAGGAAAGAGATGAAATTTATTTTTCATTCATTCAACAGCAGGTGTTCATTACTATTAAACCAACAAAACGCACGCTAATAAATCTCATTATGGCTTAATGCAAGATGTGAAAACCCAGTCACTACGACCCAACCCAACTGGTTGGGGCTCCTCAAGAATCTTTCCTCATCCCACTTCAGCTGCAAACCTTGTCAATTAGAAAAATGATTGATCGCATCCTCTGCTGTGGAGGACAATTGATCAGAATTAAGGATTGGATTTTAGACATGTGCAACCTATCGTTTTTTCTGAGAGAATTGTACAATCTCTCCATCAGAAAGTGTCCTATTATCTTTCCCCATGGAAAACAATTCTTGGACCGGTTTGGTGAATATGAAAAAGTTAGTTTCCTCTTTCAAAGCTTTATAATACCAGATGAATTTAGAATATATTTGCAATTACAAGCTCTTTTGCCTTTTTCTATGTTTCTATTTATTACATATTGAGAGGGGGCTGAATCAATTTCATTTCATTTTTTTTTTGTACGCTGAAAATGTTTAAATGTAAATAATTAAATAAAAAATTAACAAAAGATTTACCGTCAATGGAAGCTAATGATAGTTAGCTAATATTTGTAGCCATGGTATCATTTGTTTTGTTTCCACGCAACTATAAATCATGGTTGATAGCACTAGGGCAGATTTCAAATTCTGAGCGTTATTGGCGGGTTTTTAAAATGCTTGCCATGATTTAGATGGCAGATCCCAAAACATTCCTTTAGTAGGAAGCAAATTCAACCACCCATGCTGGTTTTTTAAGGAACGTGATTCACAAAGCAGAGTGTGCATGAGATGCAAACAAAGTAGTTTCCATGGATACAACATGTTATTGTTGTTAATTGCGAAGTCGTGTCCGACCCATTGCGACCCCATGGACAATGTTCCTCCAGGTCTTCCTGTCCTCTACCATCTTCTGGAGTCCATTTAAGTTCACACCTACTGCTTCAGTGACTCCATCCAGCCATTTCCTTCTCTGTCATCCCCTTCTTCTATTGCCCTCAATCTTTCCCAGCATCAGGCCCTTCTCCAGTGAGTCCTTCCTTCTCATTAGGTGGCCAAAGTCCTTGAGTTTCAACTTCAGGATCTGGCCTTCTAAAGAGCAGTCAGGGTTGATCTCTTCTAGGACTGACCGGTTTGAATGCCTTGCAGTCCAATATCCTATAACATTTTTCCTTAATTTCTTTGATTGCGTATTGCTTGTTGCTTTCCTCTCCATTGTGTCTCATTGATTTAATAATATGGAAATGTCAATTACACTAAACAAAAAATAAAAATAATTCCACAGTGATTATATAGTTTTAAAGGAATTAAGACACAATGAAGTCTAAAATGACCAAAAATGTTAAGAAGGGGGGGGGAAATGATTTCTTATAAAATAAATATAAAACTAGCTCACACTTTGCATTGTTTAATGTTGCTTACCGTGAAAGGGAAGATTATAATGGGTGTGTATTTCTAGATCAGAATATCCCTGGAGGTTGAAAATATAATATTGAAGTTGGTGTTTTGGTTTCTAGCATTCAAGAATGAAAGAGGTATAATATTAAAGAGTTTAAAACAAATAGATGAAGTTGGCATTTTGTGGGTTCCAGAAAATCTCGTTGAGCCACCACTAAGCATCACACTAAAGGCCAAGCCTTGTGCCATGCTGATTGTTTAGATCCCAGCAACAAGAGCTTGGAGAATATCATAATTCAAATAAGCTATAATTAATGGTATAGCAACCATAAATATTCAACTTTCAGAATCACATTTTTCTTCCTCCTTTCTTCTGGAATGTATACGGGGTTCTTGATTCATTTGACCATAACAAGCAGCCTGTAAGCCTAAATTGGGTGGAGAAGTATTCAAGAAGCTGCAAATCACTCCAGACTTTCACAACCAGCTGAAAATTTGCGTCATTCCAGCAATAGTTCCACATCTTCACCACTATTTACCATCTCATCCTAGGTGAACTGATTCTTACCTTACTTTTCTCTGCCTCCATATCCCGAGTTGTAGCAAAGATCCATTTGGGTGGACAGGGCAACTGTAGAAACCTCTTCACCAGACCCAGACCGATCCCCCGATTGGATCCTGTCACCAGAACGCTGAAAACAGAGAAGTCAGCTGCCTTTGCCATCTCTTCAGAACCTGCAGCTTCTGCTTCCAACCTGCTTGAAGTTTAGTTCAAATGTTTCTTCTCAACACAGGAGGCAATGTTATGAAGCATGTCACACCTATATCAGCATTGCTTGCTCTAACAGAGGAAGCAATCAAAATAATAAGGGAGGGTGGAGGGGTGAAGATATTTTAGATATTTAGAAATGCTTTCTAATCAAGGGAGAAACCTAATTAAAACAAAATGTTTTAATTTTAGCTGAGCAGGAAGCATCCAAAACCAGATCCAAATAGGAAAATTAAGATTTATGCTGTTCACTGGCTTAAATACCTCAAATTAGGGAATAAAAGGAATAGCATCAAAGTGTCAGTGAAAGTTTGTCTGCAAAACGTTTTTGGGAATTTGCCAGATCTCTTTCATTTAACTGGCTATTAGCTAACAAGAGTATCTTCCTTCCCTTTTCATCTATTTAATAAGATTTCATATGGATGTGTAAGGATTTATTTGTGTGCATGCATTTTGAAAGATTATATTCTAAAAAATAGTTTAAATGGGTAGACCGTGCTTCTGGTTTGAGACATGGAGCTTGCATATACGATCATAAAAATATGGGAGGGCGAACAACAATAAAAAAACAATATGGAAGTAACTCCATGTGCAATTCTTGACTCCTGGACCTACAACCTTCAAATCCAAAAGACTCTTCATTGATCCTTCCTAGCTGCCTTACTTTTTCTTTATGAAATGTTTTTAGTAAAATATGCCGACGTTTGAAAACTTGTGACAGAAAGTAAAGAACAAGACCAGAACTTTTCATGGCCGCAGTGATTTATTGGAGGCCTCATCACCTCTCAGGGTATTAGGTGCTGATGACATTATGGTGAGACAGATCACCACGGAATTCGACAGTCCAGCCAATCTAGAAAGGTCCCGTTGTCCTTTTCACAAAGCTTGGACAGCACAGTCACGATGCCTTGTGTGCTCTCTTCCACGGTGATTTCGGGCTGCCACAAAGAAGGATCTCATAAGGTTTAAAGAATCAATCCTAAAGAATCCAGCCCAAATCCTCATCTCAGCAGGGGAGCAAAATGCAATTGGATCTCTTGACCATAAATGTTCCAACTCCAGTATGGAAGGATTTATATTAAACTGGCCAATCTCATTTTGACTTGTAAAGATATAAGAACACAATGCCTATGATCATGTGTTGACCTAACGCCTTATGCAAATCTTTACATTTGTGAGGAGTCATTGATGCTCTCTGAGCTTGGTTCTTTTGTTGCACATGTTTTATTACCCAAACTAGGTAACATCATCAGTGCTGTTAGCTGGATAAATTAAAGAGAACCATGATTAACTTGCAAAAGCAGGCAGTGTCTATACATTTCTTGTAACATTTGTAAAGTGGAACTCTTATGGTTTGCTGTTCTGATTTTTCCCCCCCACCTTCCTCCATTATAATTTCCAGAATAAACGGGTCAACCCTACATTGAGTTTTAAATATGAGAAGGGCGGAGTCATTGTCATTTCATTGTGAGCACATGCTTTCCTGCAGAATTACTGTTTTTTGCACATAGCATAACCTCTACAGAAGTATTTTATATTTGTGTTTTTGCTTGAGCATATTATTAAATAAAATACTAAATAATCAGAATACTAAAACTTTCAGGGGCTCATCAGTAGGTAATTCACTTGTCTTTGAATATGGGTAAATAGATATCTTAATATGTGCTGCACCTTTTCCAATATGAACAAACTTACAAATGGACTCTTAGCAGTTTTAACTAAGCCAGGATGGATGGAGACGCTCATAATCCCATCGGCTGCATACTCAAGAGACTGGCACCTGGTGATCATGTTCAAAGCAGCCTACATGCGCAAAACAAAACAAAACCCAGTTGTGAGAAAAGAATGTACTGAAGAGAGAAAGGGAGGAAAGGATTAAAATAAATAGTGATTGAAAGAGACTGTAAATTAACTGTTGTACGGGGCTGGAAAGGAATATGAAATAAACAGTAAAGGGTTAATTAAAATTTTGATCTGAGAAAGCTACAAATGGATTAAGGGTCCATATAAATTTAACATAAGATTTTGGAATTATAAAAGATCCTTTCCATGAGAAAATGTTTTTTTGCTTTGAATTAGAAAAAAAAAACCTGTAATATTTCAAAATTGGACACTAGAGGGAACTAGATTTCAGATTTCAGAAGAGAAGAGACTATAAAATTGCCTAACAGTTACAGAATGGGGGAAAATATTCTAACACTACTAATGTTGAGGAATGCTTTCAAAAAAAGGGAGTAAAAAATAAATATTAATAATGCCAGCAGTGATACCTGCCTTGATAGATAGACTGTGTACAAAAGATATTGTGGAAGGGGAACAGAAATTGAGTTGAAAGTGGATTTACAAGTGACACCTTAATAGACTTTTGCTGACACCAGGACCAAAATGATAATATTTCATGGATTTCCTTATAAATAAGAGAGGGGGCATGGGTTGAAGAGATCAATTGGTGAAAAGCTACCAGAATTGTTTATACTCATTCTGTTGAAGATTGGAAATCGCTTCTTTACATATTTACTTCCTTTTACCTTATTAAAACTTTTCTTTCCATTCTTTGTATTTTTCTTTTCCTTTGCACTTTTTACTCTTCTTTCCTTTAACTTGCACTAGCTTTTAGCTATCGCAAGCTTTAATAGCATTATTTGAAGGGGGGGGGATAAAAGACATCCCAATTATGTACAGGTAGCTTCGCATCGAATAAGCACCTTACTGCAGCGGTATGCAATTCCCTGTACAACATCCCAACCAGCCAGAAGTTCAATAGAGCCTGCAATGCTGGACGCATTGATAATGGCCGCCTTGCTGCCGCTCAGCCCTTGACGTGGGCTTCTCCGGGCTGCCTTCTTCAACAGAGGTAGAAATGCCTTGTAGAAAGACGAAAAGAAAGAAGGAGTTGCAGTTAGGCCCATGAAAAGGAGCTGTGGAATGGCAGGGCAAAATCTTCTGGCACCTTTTCCCAGGGGATCTTCATAGAGTCATGCAGGCCTCACCACTCCCAAGAACACGGTTCTAACACTCTTTTGTGGGCTCCCTTCAAGAAGGCTCCAAGGCTCCAGCAGATGCAGAATCTGGATGACCTACAACAGTGGTGGCGAACCTATGGCATGGGTGCCAGAGGCGGCACTCGGAGCCCTCTCTGTGGGCACACGTGCCGTTGCCCCAGCCTTGCCTCCCTCCGTGACCCCCTCCTCTCCAGCAGCCCCCCTGAAGGAGAGTCGCCCCCGAGCAGGGCCCATATGGAGCAGCGCAGGCAAGGACATGGCAGCCAGGCAGCGTAGACAAGAATCTGCCCTCACACCCCATCATGCAGTTGATGCTGCAGGGCGCGGGCAGAGGGTGTGGCCGTCATAGCGCTGCTGGGCTGCCTGGGCGATCTGCGGCGGGCCCTGGAGGCGGTGAGTGGTCCTGTGGGCAGGCGGGGCGCAGGATGGGGGGCAGAGCAGGGCAGGGCAGGGGGATGGAGCAGGGCCAGGGCCAGGTTTTGGGCACTCGGTCTCTAAAAGGTTCGCCATTACTGACCTACAAAATGGATTTATGGACAGCATGCTGTATATCCAAGAGCATAACAATCCCAGATTTGGCTGAGATGCAGATAATCCACCTGTTCTGCACTTCTTTGTACTTGCCTTCTAACCCACATTCTCTTCGAACTTCTCGAAAAGGGAGAGATGGAAAGACAGGGGCATATTTGTCAGATGGTCTCTTAAGAAGCGGGCGTTTCAGTGCCTCTTTCAAGCAGAAAGGGATCGCCTCCATTAAACTCAGCTGGCACCAAAGCTCTGAGCGCTGGAGAATTTATGAATTAGTCATTGGCCAATTTGATGCGCCCCCAGGGGACATTCCAAGATGTCACTGCTTCTGTGCAGATTCTCTCCAGTCATCCTCCAACTCTGAGAAATCGTGTATGACTTTTGACCACAACATATCTCACTGAAGAGGATCAGCAGTCTAGGTGGTTTTCTCCAGGCACAATATTCCCTAAAAAGAAAGAACTACCCCAATGTTTCAGCCTGTTCCCAAACTAATGTACAGTTTCTACTACTTGTGTTTTCAGCTTGCTCCTTGCCCTCCAGCTACAGATGGTCCTTGACTTCCAGCAGGTCACTTAATGACCGTTCAAAGATACAACGGCACTGCAAAAAGCGACTGAGGACCTTTTTCGCACTTATGACCATTGCAGCACTTCCGTGGTCACATGATCAAAATTCATACGCTTGGCAACTGACTCATACTTATGACGGTCGCAGTGTCCTGCGGTCACGTGATGCCCTTTTGCGACCTGCCGACAAGCGAAGTCCATGGGGGAAAGCCAGATTGACCTCACAACCGTGTTAGTAACTTAACAACGGCAGAGATTCACTTAACAGTTGTGGCAGGAAAGGTCGTAAAGTGGGGCAAAACCCAGTTAACAACTGTCTTGCTCAGCGACAGAAATTTTGGACTCAGTTGTGGTCCTAAATTGAGGACTGCCTCTCTACTGAATTCAACCACGCAATCTTTTTTTTTTTTTTAGTTAAAACAGTCTCCCTTGCTTTGGAAGAAGTTGTATTCATAGACAGACCTGGCTCATCAGCAGTGGGCCGATGGTATTGACGGAATAGGTTCTCATCATATTGTTGGCATTTTCTGCTTGCAGATCTTTGAAGTCCCAATCGCCAGCGTTGTTGTACAGGATGGTCAGCCCAGCTTCTCCGACACACTTCTGCACTTCTTTCAGAGCGGCCTGGATGCTTTCAAGCTTAGTAACATCTAAGGAAAAGTTTTCTTAAGCAACGGAGTTGCTAAATTTGCAAAAAAAATGCTGTTTCATACAGACCACCTTCCCTTCTCAAAGCAGGTGATACAGATGTTACATGTCAAATACCCAACCGTGGAGTTTTACTTGACTTCTCTCACTCTTGGGGGGGGAATTCTTTATTTTTAACTGGGGGGGCGTCACCTAACAAACTATTCAA